GTGTCCCAATAGGGGCCATGGAATTTGACAAGACGCCGGCACGAGGTGTATAGTAGGGGCGAGAATGGGTGTTCTTAGAGGCGAGGGGTGAGGATGTGGCAACTTGAACGACAGAAGAAGTATGCGCAATGGGAGACAGCAGGTGGTTGGAGTTTCGTTCGATTATTTGTGTGGGCTGGGTAGTTTTTTGGGTGAATTGTTGTGTGGTGAGAGTGAATGCTTGCGTGGGAAGAGGGTGTCTATGCACAGGCACCGTTGCCACAGTCTCTTCGAAGTCGGAGCTTCCTCGATCATCATACTCAGCATCGGAAGCTATAGGATGGGAGGACTGGTTGGCCCTCCGATTGCGAAGAGGTGTATCAGGAACAAGGTCCACCATGGTGGAATGGCTCCGAGCCGGTGGATTGTGAGGTTTATGGCGAAAATTATTAGCTATAACAATGCCTTTTAGAGAGAAGCCAAACAGAAAAAATATATCTATAAAACATGAGATAACTATTCTAGAAGATAAAAGGGACAGCGGCCAATAGAACAACCAGGCCAGCCCATTGTCTTGTCCAGCAGGAGGTAGCAGTGGTGGAGGAGATATTGTGCGGCGATCGGATGGTTCAAGTTTCTGCCAGCTCGACGGGGGCCAGTCAGGGCTGGTTCGCGTATAATATAAACTGGCGGCAGAAACACGCGCCCCTGCGAAACCTAAACAGGCACCGCAGCGCGGGAAAACCTTATTCCCGTGGAACCTCACGTGGAGATAAGATAAGATGCGATTTTGGGATGACTCAGCAGGCGGTATATTGGCAGAAAAGGTTCCAGTCTCTCTCTCAAAGATGCAACAGCATCAAGAGCCGACATTACGGGCAACATTCGTTTGAGCCTTGTTGGAAATCACTACATGAGGGACAAATTCGGGTGGGTTACATGATAGCGCAAATCATATATACACATGTATCCATCTGTCACAATTAAATTTAAGAAATCATCACCAAAAAGAATCTGAGTTTAGACGCAACTACATTCATGCGTTGCAGGACAGCTAAAAGGAACAGCATCACGATCGGCTTCTGTCATCATTTCCTCAACTAATCTGCTTGAGAGTTGGTCAACAGGCTCAGGGCAACCTGGGAAGGTATTGCATATCATCCAGCAAACTGCATTCAGATGTTTGGATTGTCATGTAAGAAATCTTAATTTTAAAGTGTCTGATCTGGTGTCTAACTCCATGAGCTAATGAGAGACAGCGGTTCTTACTTCTCCAAAGTTACATCGTGAAATTAGCACCGCACATCGTTTTGACAACGAGCTGTCGATTTTACAGAAATTTGAAAATCGACAAGGAATTCGTCAGTTGATTTATCAAGTCCAGCATCCACCACTACTAACTAGTCCTGCAACACTTCGACAACAATTTCGTAAATGTTTCTCATGATGCAAGCGAACCTCTTTGGCCCATTTCCAGAAAATCCAAGGAGACAGCGGATGAGGAGAGAGCAGATATGGTGATGCAATGCAATGTCTATGTTGAAAGCTGGGGCGGCGTTGTTGTGCGCCATACTTTTTCCTCTGTGTTCCTTGCCGTCTTTCTTGCTCCTGCTCTCCTTGAAATTCTTGTTCTTGCTGCTCTGGGCTGTTGTCTGAAATGAACAGAGGTGACATGGCAACGTCAGACAGCGGGTCATCACGGGGGATCCCTCGCGGCTATGGGGTCCCTGGATTGAAATGACGAGGCCCCTCCAAAGAAGGATAAGTAAACACAGCGACGGACAAAGAACGTGGTAATGGTATCAGCTATATCTTGTTTGTGCTTCCGCGTGTGCGTCATGCCGCAACGTGTTCGCAGTTTAGCCTGTCATCAGCGAGTAGCTCCTGTGGCTGTTTCGGTTGTTAGGGATCCGCAGCTGAGAAACAGTCGACGATTTTACCAATGGGTGTCTCAAGCATTTGAGGTTTATATTGAAAGCGGTCGCGTTTTCGGGTCTGGAGCAGAGCAGCACGCGCGATCTGTTGATCAAAAGACTGATACATCAATCCCGTGATATCAGTGGAGTGAAATCAGGAACGGTACGCCAGTGCAGCCATGTTGTAGACCACGCGTTCGTCAGCTTTGGCATAATTCATTTTGGCTAGCAGGTCGTTATCATTCTTCAGTTTAGCCGTGATTGAGGGATAATATCGCATGGCATACAGCCAGACATATCGCTATGCCACATCAAGATGCTTCATACCCATCATGCGAGGATTGTGAAATGTAGACTCTGATGTCTGAAAAAGACAATCTTTCTCTATCTCTGAAGTTGCCATGAACATGTGCTTTATGCTTCTCCAAATAGACTTGCCAGGAGGACTGAACAGGCGTTTCAGACACTGAGCACAGCTTTCCAGGTACCTGAGGTCCTTGAAGAAAGTGTACAGGGGACGGCACCAAGCTGCTGAATCTTTTCATTCAGGTCCAGATGATCCGTAGCTTGCTTCACTGACGCCAGCAAAGGCCTGACTGCTCAGGATATATTCATATGCAGTTTTCGCATCGACGCGAGATGCACCAGGTGCCATCAATTGAAGTGTCTCCACGGTGTCTTGATCGATCCTTTTCATCGCGACCGGATTGTGATCGACGAGGAAGGACCAGAACTCCCTTGCATGATCAAGATAGTTGAGGATTTCCTTTGGAAAAATCAGAGAATGAAATACAACGTCGAGTTGACCAAACGATCCTAAATAAAACTGACAGTGAACAAGTGATGGATGATGCTAATCCACCTACCCTACCACAGTCTAAGAGATCTGGAACAGCCAACAACACGTCAAACTCCTGACAAAGTCAACGATTCCTGTGATTATGGAGCTGATCAAGGCGTTCCTGATTACTGCCCAACAGGCGTGAGAGCCAGCGCTGCCGGAATGATTCATTCTGCTCTCCCTCATACTGGCGAATCTTCCGGAATATTCCTCCATTGGTGAGTTTCCTCTGATTCGCATACTCCTCTAGGAAGAAGAGCTGGAGTTCATCGCCGGTCTCAGCATAACAATTACAATGGTTAGAGATATGGAGAATAGTTCCTTCAACAAACAGAAAACCATACCGTCCAAGATACAGATCTACCGTCCACTACCGGTCGACGGGGGGGAGAGTTCGGAATCAACTTGTATGTGACGCGGCAATGGCTCTATTCCCAATTTTCTTTGATTAGAAGGTCAAAAGTTTAAAATCTTTGTGGAAGTCGTGTTTAGATAAAAGTAAACGGAATTGGAATGTTACGTTTATAATTGTCCGAAAATGTAATAACTGTTCCCACCCTCGAATCAACTGGCCCGTTATCACATAGGTCTAATTAATTATAATTGCAAGGCTGGGCATTGATGCGTGGATTGTGTTAAATATTTGTTTTCAGAAGTGTTAATTTAATATATAACTGTTTTCACAATTCCATCACTGTCATATTAAAAACAACGTTAGTTGCCTTGGGGGAACAGAGAAAACCACTGATTATGGGAACAGCGGCATGATGCATATTTGTAATTTATCTTGCACCCGACACAGGTTTCCATTGACTGCGTAGAAAGATTTTTTGGGTGGGAAGCAGGAACGTCTGTTTTAAATACACCATGCAGACAGAGCAGTTAACTACTAGTTGGTTAATATATCCTAGAAAATTAATTCCGCATCTCTACCGCGCGCAACACAGATATATATCCAACCCCTGTCATCCTGAAAACTAACTATAAATAGATGGTTATCAATTCCATGCCCAGCATACAGCAATTCTTCCAAGTGTTTAAACACAAAATCAATCCCTGCAGCCCATTCGCCCATTATCCGTCCATCATCACCCGGCCGACCCGTGAACAAAACCACCGCCACCACCGCCATCTCCACCTAAATATCCGCAAATTCACATAGCATACACCCCTAGAACCAGCGTACCATCGCATTCCCTTCCTGCATTAAGGTTTCTTTGCTAGACATGGCCACCCGTCGCTCTGCGGTCGCAGCGCAAGGAAATGATGCCGCCACCGTTGAGTACGAGAAGACTCACCGAACCCCATCAGCACAGAGAGATGATGGTGATGAAACTGGTGATTCTTCGTAAGTAGTATCTCTACATACACATCGACGCGTTACTCAATCAATTTTTATGAATGTGATTCTATCCGTCCCATCAAGATTGCCCATTTCCGCTGCCGGGAACGAAACAGAGCAAGTATGCATTCATCCATGCTTAAAGAATCAATGAATGCTTTTCTTATGGAATGTTGCCGTAGCTTTTGCATTATTCTTTCTATTTGAAGCGGCACATGTTAAGCATAGAGGGATATCATTGTATCATACATACACAACAGGCAAAATAATAATAATAAATAAATAAATAAATAAATAAAAATAAAACATAAAAAAAACGGACAGAAGACTGACTGACTGACATATGGCCCTCCAGAGACGCACTCTACAAACTTCTCGCCTTCACCGTGCTGATGGTCTGCGCGCCACTGGGCGTCTATTTCGGAACTGTGAATAGGGTGTTTGAAGGTGCGTTCAATTTAATTCAATCCATATCCATATCCATATCTAATGTGCTATATTACATTGGAACATCTTGCCTTATTACATATCCGCTGGAATCAAAACTTCCATTTCACAATCCAACCGCACCCAACGCTAACACACAATGGTAGGAAACTCCACGTACGCTGGCGCTTACGCTGCCGTCACTGCAAATCTTGTGGTGCTTGGGTATATTCTTATGGCGATGTGGGAGGATAGTGGTGCGGAGAAGAGCCGGAAGGGGGATGTGGTGAAGGGGAAGGAGGAGTAAGTGCTGTTTAGTGGATGAGATGCTATGAGCGTGCTTGTGGTAGATTTGGTATGGGGAAGGGGAACAGGGAAGGGTATTTAGATACTCTGTGACTGAATGATTATGGATTGAAGGCGGGGATAGGTCTTGCCTTGCTATGCTTTGCCTCTTTTCGCTTTGCATATGTCGATTTTTTTCCTTTCTGTATTATATAGTTTAACTACATATCGCTATCGCTATTTGGATCTGATTTGAGAGTGACACTGGTAATAGGGATATACACTCTTAACGTTGCGCAGGTTGAATATCAAATTTGCTCGTTCACTTATAAAGAGAAAGATTCTACAAGATATGAAAGATAGAATGAGTAACAGAAGACAAACACAAAGAGATAAATATATAAAAATGTACTATAATATATTAAAATGGATTTTGGTGTAATTAAAAAGGGGAAGTAGGTACGATACATTAACTCCGCCAAACAGGTAGTTAGCGTGGGTCTTTTATTTCAAATATGATATAGAGATCAAATGAAGCAAGCAGTCGCTGATTTCGACAAGATATCTCCCGAATTGGCCGCGATTGGACACAAAATGGGTCTCATAACCTGACAGAATGGCAAGCTTCATCAATTGCAAGGTTGCTTAACTACGAGAACGAACTACATATGGGGGGGGGGAAGGAGAGAGAGTCACGTAACAAGTGCGCCCGACTGAACATTAAGATCTATTCGTCTGAAGTAAGCCTCCGTTTGAATAACTAATAACTCACAAACACACTAGAGTCTGAACTGTGTTTGAGAAGGAGATGCTGAGGCTGAAGAATTGACAGCATTGATCTCTGTAGAGTGCATTCTTCTTATTATGTTTAAGTGAATCAAAAGGCGGGTTGAAAACCGAGTTAACCACAGTCACAATCCAAGAGACCTCTGTATTTCTGAGCCGCAGAACGAGGCCGAATAATGACCAGGCCAATTAGGGAATATGCCTAAGAAACTAATTTTACGACTTCTCGGAATTAGCTTGTTATTTTCTTATACATTGAAACCAAAAAAGAGCACCCATGGGAAAATATTGTTCTCCACTATTTAAAACGAATCAAAAAAAAGAAAAAAAGCTAGTAATAAAAATTTCAACTAGTCCTAACCCAACTCCAAGCTAACCCCAAGTTCCCATTCCGTAATTATTAATCCCAGCATATTATCATTACCATAGCACGTCCATGTGCGAGTTAGTGTTCGTGTCCGTGTTTAGTCTTCAGAGCACAGGTATCGGCTTTTCTCAGATATCCCTCCCTCCTCATATCGACCTTGTCTGTTCGTTCCCCCCTTCCCCCTTTTCTTTTGCTAAAGAAATACAGACCTTCCCGTTCCCAAACAGATATTCCCCTTTCGTATTCTCAAAAATAAGCGGGGAAAGAAACGCAATAGCTAAAATCCGACTTTCGCGTGTGGTGGTCGATGGATACGCAACCCGTGGCAACCCTAGAACATCTTCGTAGGTATTGGTAAAAGGTCGCCTTACCCCTACCCGACCCCAACGTACATGCCATACCATAGGGACCACAACAATCGATAATTTCGCAACCACCCAGCCAAGCTCAGCCTATCAAGACTTACTAAACCGCTTAAAGAAACTTTTCTTCCTTTCCGGTGCCGCAGCAGGTGCCGCAGCAGCAACCTGCGTTGAAGCCACAACTCCAACCGGTTTCCGCATGACAGATGACTTATCATTTAAACCCGGTCCACCCGCACCACTGGCATCATTCTTCGATATATTTGGAGTTGTGAACGCCTGGCTGCTACCACTATTATTGTAGCCATCGCCAGGGCCCTGATAGTATCCATGATTAGACGCAGAGGAAACTTGTGGTGGGTAGTCGAGATCCGGCGTGCTGGCGAAGCCGGAGAAGCCGTATGTTTCTGCCTGCGTCTCTGCTTGGCCTTGGCCTTTCCCTTGTTGTTGTCGATGCTGTTGGTATTGCATGCCGTCTTCCATGTTTCCGCCTACAGAGCTGGGTTCTCCGTAGTCTGCCATTTGTTCTGACGAATAATTCCCATCTTGCGCATATTGCTGTCCACCCGGCGACTGGTAGTAGACCGGGCTATTACTGTTGTGGCCTTGCATGTGCTGATCGGGGTTCATACGTCGCCCTCCGTGGGGAGGGATACGTTGCTGGTACCCATTATTACTATTGTTACCATTGTTGCCGTAGTTGCCATAGTAGCCATTATTGTTGTATTCGTTATAATTCCCGCCACCGCCGCCATAGTTGCTTTCAACGTAGCTGTCTGGTCTTGACTGGCTAGGGGGCTGTGTGGAGTAATTGGCCTGTTCGTTGTAGCCGCGATTTTGATGGCTGGGTCCTCCAGCTGCTGTTCCGCGGTCTAAATTCGGGTGGGTGGGTTCAGTGTTGGTGGGACCTATAGGGGGGTGAAGGGTGAAGGGTGGAGGAGTTGTAGGGTTGGAAGTGTGAGACAAAAAAAAAAAGAGAGAGAGAGGATAATCATATGGGAATAAATAAGAAGGATAAGATAACATACCTCCAAAGTAGCTACTTCGTCGGCTGTAGCCGCCATTTGTGCTTTCATCTAAAAATCATGAGACAATTAATCCCTCACCCCCTTAAAAAAACTTGGGGTATAACTTCTCGAGGGGGGGAATGGCGGGGGCGGGGGTAAAATTACCTCCGCGAACATATGAAGCCCTCCGGTTCATATAGCTTCCGTCTATGGCTGCCTCGAACGAACGGATTGTATCCAGTGGACGCTCAAACCGATGTCGCGTCGGATTCGATAGATCGGGATCAGCTGTATGTAGTAGAAAATCCACTGTTAATAGAAACGAACTACGACAAGCACAACGAAAAATTGAGAAGCATATGATATATATATGTGTGTTTAACAGGAGGAGAATAGAGATGTTTCTCACTGATTGGATTCCCATAGATATCCTTATGTTGTATTGATCTCAACGACTCCAGATTCGACTTCTGCAACGCAATAGCGGCTGATAATGCAGTTAATACACCGTCCTTCTTTCTATCCATGGATGTTTGTTTTTCGAACGTTTCATCGAAGACATCATCTGTAGTTCGCAACACCACCACTTGGAAGGCGACGGACTACTCACATGGTTGCAACTCCTGTATGGCACGAGTCGGGTCTGCGTACGTATGCATTCGCTTTGCTTCTTTTTCCTCATGTGTCTCTGTAAGATCCATCTTGGACCCGGAGCCGCTGCTCTTATGTGTTCTCCCAGATTTATTGCTCGTGAAGCTGAGGACGCGGCTCCGTTTTGAAGCCTGCCGTGTATTGGCCATGATGCGCACGTATACTTATTTGACTGAAGCTTGGAGGGACGAATAAACGAACGGATGGATGGACGGAATTAATGAAAGAAATTATCGGAAATAAGTCAAGGGGAACTATGTATTAGGTGGAAGATAATTAATTATCTAGAGAAGTGAGTGCGATGCGATGCGATGTGATGGGTTGAATAAACGATGGGCACGATCCCGGAGCCACGCTTCGACTTGGCCCTCGGAAGCAGGAATTTATTTTATGGGCCAAACGCAGAGAAAACGATTGACAGCCAAATATTGAGCAAAGGGCGAACGTGGCAGGGCGATATGGAGTGAATGACCCGTAGTTATGAATTCGTGGGGGATTGCAGCAAAAAGGGTAGATGATATATTCAAGAAAGTAGAACGAGTTAAGTGACGGGGAAGACAGTCAACAGGGTGGAACTGTTGATGGTGAGCTTTCGGGTACCAACGATATTGAACGCATATTGGGGCGTGGATTGTGGAAGATGGTGGAGAACTGTGGATGATGGATGGTGGATGTGGAGAGACAGGTGGGTAATAGATAACTGTCCCAGTGGGCCAGGCTGGACGTATTTTGGGTGCGATGGAGATTTTCCTGAGGCGCGGCGGGGATCTTGGAAACGATGCGCCGAATGGCTGCCCAGGAATGATATATAGTTAACGTTGTGTGCACCGGAACACAGTTACATAAACCTGGGTGGCTTGTGGACACTCGACAAGCAGCACACAACAAACGCCTGGGACAGACCCCACCACTTTTCGCTGAGTTCTTGGGTACGTCAACGTCAGCCCCAGACCGGTTACAAGGCTCCAATCCCGGACACTACAGCGACAGATTACGCATCCATTTCCCTCCGTTTCCCCCCTCTCCTCTCTCTCTTGACAGGGTATTTTCCCGGATTAATTATCCAATTTGTTGAGTGTTGCCCATCCGACTATGAATAGCAACCAAGAACATTGAGCACGGTTCAGCTTGATTTGCTTTATTTAATATTTACTCTGTAATTTATTCCGGATGCCTTCCAACGCCTACCCCGGATAACCCGTCCCTGTCACCGCAGATCACATGACCTGCCTCGGTTCGTTTTCCGAATGGAGACTTGGAGTCTCAATGGGCGGCCACGGAAGTTCAATCAGGTCTTAGGTTTGGATCCCGCGTCCGCGAAACTTCGGGCGCAGCAACCACTGTGCTTTACACGCAGCGTATCTATATTGACCCCCGACCTAATCTTACCAGTTCTAACAAAGAAGCTGCAAATATACATATATAAATAAAATGGAAGCAACTGTTATAGGGATTGGATAGGGTTATGTGTAGTTGAGGTTTGAAGGTTCATTTGGTATTTTGATCGGTCAGATACAGGAACTAGCTTGCCATGCCGTGCAGGAACAAACATAAGCCTCGTCTTCTCCACCAACAAAAAAGAAAGCCGGGTGGGGTGGGGGGCCTGAAGGGTCTGAACTTCGTTCAAAAAGAGAAAAGAGAAAAAGGGGGGAAAAAAATAAATAAATAAAATAATAATAATAATAAAAAATACGTTTCAAGCAAAGGAAAAAAACAAAGGCGAGTGGCCTTATCTATCGATTGATCGCAGACGCTGACCGGAGTGAAAGCTTAGAAGAAAGGACAATAGGCCGTTTTGAGCCCAAATACCCCAATTCCCTTTTTGCCTGCCCTCTCTCCTGGCATTCCACTCTCATAGAAGTTTACCCCCGGTTCGCAATGCAGCGATTGAACCCCTCCTGCCGCCCGCTCTCTTCTGTTTTAATCACATATATTTTCCCTCAATAGTTCCTACATGATCCCACAACCAAACTCGCCTTTCCCCACCAACCAAGACACGAAAGATTTGAAAACGCCGACCCCGGTCGCGAAATCAAATGCTTTAGATGGACGAAGGGTACAACATCACTCGTACAGTGGCACCAAAGGTCTTGGGAGGGAGGTTGTGTCTGAATTGAGCGCGGACGACGCCCGAGTTGCCTGATAAGAGTAAATGTCGCCTTTAGCATATCACGAAACCGAAACTGTGCCCAGCAGCCAAACTCTGAGAGCGTGATATAAATATATTAAATATATGTTGACATACCGTGTGTCCGTGTGACCTTGCCCCAGATGACTCTAATCTTCGAACCCTGAACTTCGCGCTTGGCCCGGTAGACGAACGCAACTTTCTTTCCGAGGTAGAAGTTGGCGGCCTTGGAGTCTTCTACGCCCTCAAGCTTGATAAGACTATATTATACACATAACACCTTGTTAGCTAGGCAAATCCACCATATCTCCAGGGACATTGTTGAAGCCCAGGAGAAAACGAAGGGTTAACGGAATACAGTACCTTGTGTTGGGGTTTGTGGCGCGCTTTCCACGCTGGTAGCTCAGATGCCGACCCCTAATGCAAATATCCCATTAGTTCTGTTGGCTGTTTCGATGCTGCATCTGTAGATATATTCCATCTCTTCTCCAAGTCCCGATATCAACTTCAGATGGACTCCCAGGGATCCAATTTGGCCGATCCAATTGTGGGGGGGGGAAGAACGGATTCTAGGAATCGCCTTACTTGACATATACTAGAATCAATTCAACAAAAACTTTATGTTAGTGCACAAAATCCCCAATTATAAATTCGTAAAAATTACGATTCCTCCAGTCAACCCCAGGCGTTTTGTTCACCAGTCGCACACCACAACGAAACACACTGCGATCCAACACAACAAACTCTCCCCAGAATACAAAAATTCGTAGTATCAAGCATATGGCCGCGATATCCAATCCACCAAACACAAACACACTATGTAAAGGATAAAAAAGAGATCCCACTCACGTCTGTGACCGTGATCGGAAGGCATGGCGGGCCACCGAAACTCTGTGAATCGAACGGGGGAAAAGGGCTTGAAAAGACGGCAACCCGGTTGGAGGTGGGTTGGGTGTTTTTTCTTCTCTTTATCTTTCCCAGTTTCGAGGAAAGGGGGGTTCGGGATCGTTGGTCGGCGTTCGTTGCTCGTTGCTGGTTGTCGTTTTGAAATCGAAATCGAATCCAAAGTCCCTTTTCGGCTGGTTGTTGGTGGTTTGGTGCGTGTTGGACCGATTCGGCATGGGCTGATTTAGCGAGCCCTAAGATGTTAGGGGCGCTTTTCCCTATTTGGTATTATGGAAGGTATATCACGTGATATAGAACTACTTGGAGAGGTAAAGCCTTTCTCTTTCGATGAATGTTCATCTTGTGATAATGATCTGGTTATTAAAATCCATGGTCCTGATTGTGGGTGTTTTATTCATTAATATGTCTGGATGGGAAATCAGGACAAATAGTGATTCAATCATGATTTCTATTATTAATGACTTGGGACTTCGAGATTCCTCCTGCCATTGGTGATGGCCAATTGTAGGTAACCTTGAAACTTGCATTCCAAACATTTGATAGGTGAAATGTTTCTCCATGTTAAGGGCATTGTCTGCATTCCTTGCTAATTCCTCAGAAACCTTTTCAGTATGCACTTCTGCCAGTTCTCATCTTCACACTTGTGGCATGTCAGCATTTTCACTCTTCTATGCTGAGATTCATGATTCACAAATGGTCATATAATAGCACTACATAAGGCTAACCCTTGTCGCCTACCTCTGTATATTGACAATAAACTATGGCCACGACCTTCCGCTCTTTGCCCATTGTTGACCTGGCCCCTCTTAAGAACCCCAATGGACTGAGTAAGGAAGAACAGAAGAGCTTGGCAAACCAGTTACACGACGTCTTCGTCACGACAGGATTTGCCTATCTGGTAAATTATCCTTTGAACTTTGATCATGAAACTCTTTTCGACATTACCAGGGTGTTCTTTGCTCTCCCGATAGAGGAGAAGATGAAGTTGTCCAAGCGGAGCTTTTGCAAAGACAATCTGAATACTTATCGAGGGTAATCCGCGCATCACATATTCACCGTGGTTTATTTAATTAGCATGAAATGAACTGGGCCTTCTAATTAGCTGATGAGTGATATATAATTAATGCTTTAATTCGAATAGATACTTCCCCATCCAGCCAGATCTGGCCAATGATAATCTGAAGGAGGGCTTTGAGATCGGTCCGCAGTCATCAATATCCAACAGAAGCACAAATCCCGGCAATCTGAAAGTCAATCTCTCAGAACCCAATGTCTGGCTAGCACATACAATATTCCCCTTCCGCTTCAAACTCGAACAACTACACAGCGAACTTCAATCTCTCGCCTCAACTCTGCTTTCCCTCTTTGCAATTGCCCTGAACAAAGAGGCGGATTTCTTCTCGCCATATCTAACAGACTCACTCAGCACTTTACGGCTGCTGCACTATCCACCGAATGCAAACCCCAAATCGAACCCATCAATATTACAGCAAGAGACATCACCAGATTCCGATTCCGATTCCGACACGGTAAAGCTGTGCTGCCCACCCCATACTGACAGCGGATTTCTTACTTTACTCCACCAGGACACTACGGGGGGTCTAGAAGTTCAAGATTCGGAAGGGAAGTGGATTGCGGCCCCGTACGTTCCTGGATCCATCGTTGTGAACATTGGCGACTTAATGGCGAAAGTGTCTGGCGGACGGTTTGTGGCTACGACGCATCGTGTCCGCGCTCCGCCTGCAACTGCGTCTTCTCCTTCTCCCGGTGCGGATGAGGGGATGCAGCAGGGCCTTGGAATGGGCAGGTTTAGCGTGCCATTTTTCTTTGAGCCTGGTGAGGAGTGTGTTGTTAGGTCAGTCGATGATGACAATGACGGTGGTGATGGGGCGGGTGCTCTTGTGTATGGGGACCACGTAAAAGCGAAGATGAAAACTTGGGTTGAGTTCCAAGGTCTCTGAGGATGGAAGATGGAAGATGGGCTGGGTGGTGCGAGGGAGCTCATTGAGTGGCTAAAGGTACAGATGGATTATGTAGTGTTTGCGTATATTGTTCTAATGGAACGCTGGTTACCTGCTAGTCCAGAAAGGTCCATGTATGTGTGTTTCGTTTAACTGCGAGCCGTGATAATGATGGAAACTTCAGCAGAAATTCTTCTGTTATATCCATAACCAGAGATAATTTGGAATTGTCACAATGTGTACAAGTGCAAGGAATCAACCAATGCTTCACTATTTTTCCATTGAATGTGAATCCTCGGTTTCCTGAAACCTTTCCTGTTGCGATCCGGTCCTAGAATCACCAGAACCCCAACCCTATCAGAGAACCTGGTCCCTTCTGCCACAAAACACCCCTTCTTTAATCCTCCTTTCTTCGGCATCTTTCAGTTACCGTTCGTAATCCCAGATGACAAACGTTGGGCGATTCGATGCTCGATCCCGCGATATCGTGCTTATCTCGTGGATCATAGCTGTATGGGGCCAAAAAGATATCAGACCTTGTCAGATAGGCATTTCTTCCCCCAGGATAATTTTTGGGGGGAGGAGCAAAAGAAGACAATCATGGCCCCGGGAAGATTGTCTTGCCCACGCTCAGAATCGAACTGAGGATCTTATCATTACTAGTGATAGGCTTTAACTACCACTAAACCACGCGGGCACAACTGGGTCATTCAACATCGGAAAATCAGTTCAGGCTGATCAATGCCTGAGTATGCCTGACATACACTGCTGGTAAAAGCTATTACTTCCCTCTTCCTCACAATCCGAACTGGATGCGACCCATTAACTAAGGTTGTTGTCAGAAGAATCTCTGGTCCGATGGGTGGAAGGGTGCAAACGTGCGGACCAGACCTCAAAGGATAGAATAGCGTTCCACGTTTTGATGTCGGCATATTCGGCACGCTCATTTGGTCTTCTTTGTTGGCTTACTGGTAACAATTTTTCACCTCTTTCCATCGTCATCTCCCAGGAGACAGGCAAGTCCAGGATCTCTCATAGCAGACCGTGGACTATGTTTCATTCTGCCTTGAGAGATCCAGAGGAGTATCTGGTATGCCCTGATACTAGGAAGACGTCAAAGATGAGGGGCGCCAGCAGACCATCACGCCACCAGGGCCACAGCTACTTGGAAACTAGCTCATGCGGCAATCAATTTGGCAGCCATGGATCAACCATCTTGACCCCTTTTCAATAGGAGACCCCAACTTGAACTCATTGGCTCACGTCAATCCAAGACAGAGCTCAAAGCAGCCAACTCACGCTATCTCAAGCTCGTGCAATTCTTGAACCCATCGGGGGTTCTTTGTTTCATACAATTCTTATATGGGCTACTGGATGACACTACAACACGTTGTATCTAAGGAAGTTGTACGGAAGATTATACGATGCTATAGTACCTCCTTTCACCCATTTGTGTGACTGCCTGCAACTTTTGAAAATGAATTCCTCGTCGACTTGCAAACACCACGCTGCAACAATTTCGCATACTACCCACCGTGGTGGCTCCCATGTTACTGCCGGAGATGTAACGTGACAGTCAGATCAAAGAAGATTATCGTAGCCCTCTACCCCACCTTTCCACCTTGCGCCTGATAGAGACGTTGTTGACTTAATTATATAACTGAACAACATAAAGTTTTGATATGGTTAAAATCTGCTCACTGAACCACATTTGATGGCAGCAGAGCCAGTGCCTGGTACTTCACTTTCTCGGATCCAGGTTCACAAGTTGGGGTTGTGGGATGCTGACTTTTTTCATTGTTGTTAAGAGAACTTGAGTCATCGTCTTTACGTCTAACGAGCTCCATCCAGCCATAGATTGATAATTCATTTACTAATTCTGCATCTACGATGCATGCTAAGGAGCATGATCATTGAGTTGAGCATCCCCTGCTGCATCATATCAGAGAAGGTAAAGCTAAAATGTCAAAAATATTTCCATGAAACGGTTAATGCTTGAGCTCCAAGTCGAGGCATTCCAAATTTGGTGGGCCTTTGTCTGCTCAAACACCTAGCTGTGAAATGATATCTCTCACTAGCCCTGATCTCCGCTCATACGGATACGAATGAGCATCCGATGGTCCGGCAACCTGCCTCGCCATTCCTCGTGTTTCTATTGCGGATGGCTAGACACAGGTTTTAGAACTTTTAGAACCTTTGAGAACCACGAACTTCCCAAAAGAGTCTCAGCCATTGACAGTCCTAAGTACCTATTAGGTTCCTAGGTAGTTTTGGGTATACGCCAGACCCTGCATATCTATCTACTAGTACTACTGTTGGAACATCGATAACACAGTTTTGATCAAGATAGCAGTAACAATCATCATACAGACTTGATAGAACCACTTTGGGACAACATCTCCGTTCATGAACAAACAGTCCCAACAATTCAGCCCCACACGGGGCACAGACGGATATTCCCAGCTGATTTAATGCTTCCAGGAGAGCCGGCAGGCCCAGACTGGATGCCAATGGCGCAGCTGTATTATCAGAGGTAGCTATTGAGTTCCAGGAGTACCCGAGGAAAAGCAGAAGTGATTCTGATATCATGAAATGAAACAAGTTCGTATCCAGCGCACATATAGACTCAGAACGGAGGACGTTCTTGAGAATACCAAAGCGCAAGTTATATAACTTGAAAGCCATCTCGATAGAATTACGGGACTATTGGAAGATTTTCGGAAGGCTCCATGGCTATCGGACTTGGCATGTAACCCACCCAAAGCTCTTTTTTGACCAGCTTGATGGCATTTACAAGCTGTGTCCACTGGATGCAGCGGTGCACAAGGATGTCACACAACAATTCCTGAATTAGATGAAGAAGCTACATCATTCGATGATGAGAGATGCAGATGCGGCAAAGTCTATACATTTGGAAATGTTTTTGGATACTAAATTGAAAAGGAATCTAACCGTAATGGCCCAGGTGAAAGAGGGACGATTCCCCAGGACGCACCTCGGAGTCCAAGAGTATAAGCCAACAAGACTTCACTGTACAGGGGCTCAATGGATTGGCTGTCTATTATCCAACAGTGGAAATCATTAAAGGACTGCTTGGAAGCAATTCAAGCCTCGCCTACTGCTTTCAAGAAACAAACCTCTCCCGCAAACTCCGAAGACTGCTTGGAGCAGTCCTTCCGCGTATTCGCCGACCCGGACGCGAATCCAAAGACCATCTACCAACTATTCAGATTAGTCCTTTGTATACGGGAGAGGACGAAAATGGGACAGTGTTTCGAGAGATTGATAAATGTGAGTGTCAACGACCTATTGGAAGTTGCTTCCCTCCCATTCTATTGCATTCAGGGTGCTGGAACACACTATCCATGTGTTGGTTATGAAGGAAACCCTCGATATCCAGTGAAGATGCGCCTTCCAGGACGAATACTAGGGCTGTTACCAATGCCCGAGACAGGATCTGATTCCCAGTCAACTCAAGATGGTTCTCAGCAGTATCTCGAAATATTTGGGTTCGGGGGCCAATGATCTGACTGTAGAGACGTAAAGGGGGTATCTGAAGGAAACTGGGGGTTGATTTGGAGAAACCTTCTACATATGCAGAAGTGGCTAATTCTTCGCAGCAAGTTTTCAGGAAGGACGGGTATCCACAAACTTCAATACCGCCATGGTATTGCAAACGGGGACAAACCCGGTCAATCTGCTGGCGTTGGGACTGGCTTAGCAATTCCCAATGGAGTTTCCTCTTCCAGGCTTTATGCTCGCCTCGTTCTCGAAATTGAATGTTTTGGTGGGCTCCTCTGAGCTTTCTATTCTCCCTTTACACTCACTGTCGTTAGCGTTATTTAAGACCTTGCCATGTTAGGTTGTTGCCAGGCTTCAGACGGATTGATGTCGAGGTTGCATTCAAGCATGTGTTGCAGAAACAGAGCATTGTTTTAATAACCAATACACTCTGCTGGGTTGATTAAATTTGAACCGACCATCCGGGCCTTTACTTCAACTCGGAGTTTGAGGATATCATGGAACCTTCCAAAATTTAAATGACCTCATGTACTGAACCGGGAATTGGTGGTCTGGCATGCATATAAGTGCATATCTGGCGAGTTCCCCAGCTATATCCAACGTTCTCGAAAGAGTCTCCTGCTGGGATAAGCCGATTCAGAAACGGCCTGGAAGTTTCATTGTTTCATCGGTCGTCATCTACTGCGCCGCACGGAGATATCCACAGGTCCTTCCAAGAAATAGAAATTACTACCCCACATTACTAAGGCTGTTGACTTGTACGCGTGAAGCTGATCCTGGCAGTAAGCAAAGGCAATGCCGATTGCGGCGGGGTGAATCCCATAATGTGTATCTGGCTGGTTGGGGTTTAGGAGTTAAAATATGATGCCGTGAGAGTTAGGGTTGGACGGAACATGGAGTTGCGGAGAAGGCCGCGGAGACTGTAATAGAAAGAAAGTACACCCTCTTCAACTATATAGGCTGATATCATCAGGTTAATAGAGGACTGACTCTCTTTTGTATATTATAAGGATATTATAACCAGCCACCGGATTCAAGATACCCTATAATAGATCCCAGAGAGCTCCTATGGTACATATGACACGTCATTCCCCCTCTCCTCCGCCTTTCATCTCCTCGTGGAAACGGCAACACCGTATCAACCACTCTAACAAGTAGTGAGAGGTGTATCCCAGAAACTGCCAAACCCGACACTTGATGCTTACTTTTCTATGGATACCTATATTAAGAGCATAAATGCCAAGCCATCCAGAGCCAGCCAGCCAGCCATACACAACATTCAGATATACCCATGGATGTCGCCATGATGTCGCAGGGTCCAATCCCCGTCCCGCCCTGTCAAATGCCATGCGGAGCTTGGAGCTTGCGGGGCTGAAACGTGCAAGGGCCCGAAAGAGGGTTAGCTTTTCCCCATATGTTAAAAGCTTAAAAATTAAAAAGATGATCCTCAACTTCAGAGCAACTACTAGGACTCTGTGCAAATGGATGCCTCCGGTCCCGGCCGCCGTGCGTCGAATTGAGTTGCCTCAAATAGATATCTCCACTACGATATCCGAATCTACATTGAATTCTTCTGAGCTTCATATGTGTGCACGGTGGGCTGGTATGTGTAATATGTATGGGAAGAGGAGTAGATAGGTGAAAAAGAGACTAGACTGACTGAACAAGACATGATCAGATTGAAGAGTAGAGATAGGGAATTTCAAAAAGCAACTTGACTCGCAATCTCGAGACGTCTTCGCTTCTTTCTCGTAGTTTCACTCTCCATTCATACACAGCCTCTCCCAAAATCCGCCAACTTTGGAAGTACATATATATGAAAGTTTTAAAAAGAACAAAAGAGCATTAACAGAAAAAACGCATATATATACCCGTTTTAGTAAATAGCATTTACGTCTTACCATCAACTAGTTTCAAAAGAGAACAAAGCAGGAAGAAGACCAAATAACGATGTAAAATATGGGCGTAAAACAAATGTGGTGCTTGGGAATCAACTTCAAAACCAAATCAATCAGCCACACACAATCTCATCACATCGTACACAATAGGAAAATGTAATTAAAACCCAAAGCAGATAAAGAGAACAAAAATTCAACACTAGACATCGTGTGTAAAACCAGTGGATATATGAAAACAAATAAACGAAGAATGAGAAGGATAAAAATGAAGAAAAAGAAAGACAAAGTGTCAAAATAAACTGATCTGAGAGGAGAAGAGAAAATAACCAATCAATGAATAAACCCAAACCAAACCAAACCAAAAAAGTAAGTATAAAAAATAAAAAATAAAACATAAAATGAAAAATAAAAAAAGCCAAAACATCCCGTCACTCCATCCACCAACCTACAAATCACTCTACCTTCAACCTCTTCCCCCCCGTCGCAATGCCCTCAGCAACACCAACACCAACACCCTCAGAACTCTTCCTCTTCCTTTCCATCAAACCCCCATCCTCAACTTCCTTCAAACCACTAGAACCAACGTCAACTCCAACAGTCGCAAAACCAGGCCCACTCTGCACAACAGGCGTAGGAAACGTCAATGGACTTGGTAACACATTACTGTCGGGCCCCGATCTCCCAAAGCCCCATTCGGGATAAAAGCTGGATGGCGATGGGAGCAAGTTATCCGATACAAAGCGGCTGGGGAGCGCGGAAATGGGTGTGTCGATGGCATTGCCGTTATTGTTGCTGCTATTGATGCCATTGCTGTTGCTGTTGCTGTTGCTGTTGCTGTTGCTGTTGGTATTGTTGCTGGGGTATGCCGGGTTATTTTGGGAAGCCGTTACGGCTGGAGGTGGAGGGCGGGCAAATGGGTTTGGTGGGCCTTGGGCACCTGCGCTTAAAAGTGTGGTTGTGGATGGGGAGGGTGGGGGGAGAACGACACCAGAGTGTCCTGTATCTGCGCTGCCTCGGGCGGGGGTGGCGGCTGTGTTTCCTGTTGATTCTCGAGGGGATGAATCTGCAGTAGCGCTGTCTGCATCTGAATTTTCGCTCGGGATCTGGACTTTCAGGCGTGGGCGTTTGGCGCCCATTTGGAGACTGTTTGAGCGGGAGATCGAGGAGGTATCAGGGATCGAAGAGAGGGAGTGAATTCCTTGGGAGTGGGCAGGTAGAGTTGCGGACCTTGCAGGAGGTGGAGCAAGGGGTACGGAATGGTTAGTTGTCGAATCGGCAGGTTCCTGTTCAGGTTTTGGGGGAGAATCGGTTTTTGGAGAGGAAGATTGCGGACCAAATCCAAAATGTTGCGCTAGTACGGAACCGCGATCATCAATTGGGGTGAAGATGCTTCGCGATTTGGATGGTAAAGGCTTGGGAGGTGGGGTTTGGGTTTGTTCCGTTTTGGGTTGAGGTTGCGGTTGTTGCGGATGTTGTTGGGATGGTGATCGTGAATGTACGGGTCGTTCTGGAAGGGGAAATGCCGGTGGCACCGAAACAGACTGTCGTTTTTGCTGCTCTCGTATGTATTGCTGCGTGGGCTGGCCCATGGGCTGATGAGGGGGTTGTGGAGTGTGATTTCGTGGCGGTTGTGGTTGCGGTTGAGATTGGTGTGGGTGCTGCACTGGTAGAGGATGAGGACGTTGCTGGGTATGGTGAGGGTGAGGGTGAGGGTGAGGGTGATGCTGAACCGGCGGTTGCGGAGCGTGTTGCGGTGTCGGTTGCGGAACTGGCTGGTGTTGTGGCATGGCCTGATAGTGATATTGGCCTTGTCGGGGGGTCTGCTGGGGCATATTTGGGTTCGTTTGTGGGTTATACATGGAAGGGTTTGGCATATATGTAAACCCGTTTTGAGCAGGTGGTGGGGTTGCATGGTGACGCTGCTGCTGTGGAACTAGCCCCGAACCGACCCGCTGGAGGTTATTTCTCGATGGCGGCCGCGAGATGACTGGCTGCGGAGTTCCGCGTCGAGGATTGAAAACGCCATTAGGCATTGGCGGGGATGCGGAAGGCTGATGGTTGACATGTTGGAAGGTGGGTTGGTTTTGGATCTGTTGGGGGACTGTCTTGTGAGTCTTGGGAGGGGCTTCCTCGGGAAGGGATTCTTCCTCATCATCGTCATCCATGCTTTGTTTTCCGGGAAAATCAGCAGGTCCCTTATGCTCGTGTGGTTGGCCATACTGAATTGAATGATATAGGTTAGCAAAAGACCTACAATGGAAGATGAGAAAGGGGAGAGAGGGTGTGATGGAGCGCTACACACATATTGGTATCGTCCAAGAGTCTCATTGATATCGCCCGAGGAGAACTCGTATAATTTCTTATTATGACCAAATATGATGACGGCAACGTCTACAGAACAAAGGACTGACAACTCGTGTGCCTTCTTGAAGAGACCACCCTTGCGCTTGAGGAAGGTTCTATTTCCATCGCAATAACGCGACGCAAAGTTAGTTGTTTTGTTTATATGCGCGACGAGGGACAGAAAGAAGAAGTAGAAGAAAAAATAGAAGAAGAAGAAAAGGAATGCAAGTCCAAACGCAGAGACACTTACACGGAGCGATTGCGATCATCAGTGATGGCCTTAATTTCGATCTTTCGTCGACCCATTGTTGAGACGGTAATGCGCGCCTACGCGAGACAAAGCTATGAGCTTTGCGAAGACGAATCCGGGGGAGCGTGGGCTGTCCAGGTGGCAGTCAGGAACATAGAAAAACAGCAGTTGGCAGCAGCAAAGGCGCGAGACAGGGCTGTTGAGCTTTGGCCTTGGGGACTGAATCGAGGTAAAGATGATTAGATGGAGGGAAGAAGATGTATATTGGGCGAGAGAAGGGTGAGATGGAAAGTCTTTGTTTTCTGATGGCTGTAGTGTTATTATGAGGCGATTGACGAAACCCTGGCGCCCGCTGGAAGGACGAAGAGATCAAAGGGACAGGGACTTGGAATGCTCTAACCAACAAACTGCAGCAGCCCAAGGTCAGTCTAGTAAGTATTAGACACGCTGTAGTCGCGGAGTATTGGAGATGTGACAAGTGATAGTGTGTTGTTAGGTGGAAGGAAGTAGTAATGTTGATGAGTGGTTGTTGTGTGAGAACGAGCAGAAAAAGACCAAAAGTACGTGCAGTAAGTGGGTTTCGCACGGTTGAAGAACACGAAAAACGGAGGAGTGGGTTTAGCTAGCTAGCTAAAGATGGGAGTTTGAGGTTGGAGTTTGTGGTATAGGAGAGCATATAGGCAGTAGTGACAGCTGTTGGTGCCTGTGGTGGTGTGGACGAATGTCAGTGGTTAGGTGGAGGCTGGCAGACGCCGGCGTTCTAAAGATAGAAAAAATATAAAGGAGCGAGCGAGAAGTGGGAATTAGGAAAGGGCGGACGAACGAAGGGGGAAAAGGGGAAAGGACAGATCAGGAAGGCGCACGGACTTAAAAGTCAAGTCAGCAACTCAGCAGTGGGGGAATGGGGAAGCAGGCACGCCGCCTGATTGGCTGAGATCCGCTTACGTGAGAATCTGCTTATCCCTTCTTATGGTTTAGCGGGTGGGGAGCCTCGGCAAACCGCTGCAGTTGCAGGCTGTGTACGGGCTGTGTGAAGGTGCGTGTGGATTGCACCAATCACTCCTATGCAATTACTAACTATTCATTTGAGGAGCGAATGATGTGTATATCAGCCCACTCAACCCAGCCAGGATGTTGGACCGCAAGGTGTGGTCGTGGCAATAGTGTATTAACATATCACGCAGTTCAATCCCCTCCCTGGCTGCCAGTGGTTTGGTTCGACCGGGCTGCCAAAATCACTTGCGTGGCACGACGGTTGCCCGCGGGACAAATTCACCCGCTTTACAACTAAGCAATTCCAACTGGAAAAAAATGTACGTGTTAACTTATCTCGAAAAAAAGGCTCTAATATTTCTCCGTGATAATCAGTTCAAAGAGTCGAAGGGTCTTGATGGCGACGGACATGGGATCTTTCTTATTCCGGTATAGGGCTCTTTTCCTGCAGTTAATCCATGTTATGTTTCTATTTTTAGCCTCCCACGTTAGTGTCCACTAACTTTTGCCTGTTTCATCTCCGATGCTCGCTCGGAATGTGTTCGGTATTATTCCGGTGCCGATCTGAAAATCAATGATGTATGGATTTTCTTGAACCCGCGGAACGGAGAAGGTTGAGACCCAAGGACAGGAGAGCGTATCCTGCTGTCTCTCAGTAGGATTAGCGCCACTGGGACAGAATAGGTATGGGCCAAGTTGATCTGTGCCAGGAACAGAAATCATAACTTTTTCTTTTCTTTTCTAGAAGTTGTTTACAGAAATCCAGATAGCTTCTTAGTTTCAACAAGGTTCAGAAGAAGTTTGTGTGTTTACCAACAACGCCCAATGACCATCTTCAGATGCTATGATGCCATTTATAGACCCATCCATGTAGTCAGCTTCTCCGCAGATGCTAAGAATATCTCCCTACCTTCTCTAGAGAAAGCCAACTCCACACTTTCCCCCACTACCTTCTTCCAACTTGGCCATCTTCAAATTCTACTCAAACGGGGATATTTTGTGTGGCCCTTCTGATTCCTGGAGGGATGGTGCCAAATCATTTTTACCAAAAGCAGAAAATTAGTCCACCGGAATCCAAGCTTGCAAGGTACTCATGGATCCATAAATTTCCCCATCTGGCACCTCCACGGAAGTGAAAAGTGGTCGAGAAACAATATCATTTTATATCCACGGATCCATCCAAGATCTTCTGACTCCGGGCAAGCTTTCGTGGATACGTAGGGTAACGAAGACAGGAATGTGTCACATGTGGAACAATGCACTGCGAGTAACCCATACATTCTTATCAATGTTAAAGGGGCCGAATAAATGTCACGAAAGTTAACTAGTACTCTCTTCGTCTTGATTGTTCGATTCACCCCGATATCGGAAGTATATAAAATAAAGAGGCAGTTAACAAATAAATCTCTCAAACAAATATACATTTAATCTAAGCAAGAAATAATCAACATATTGATGAAAATCTGCAGCAGTCCCTTCTCAACTATCTGTTATTAATGCAATCAAGTCTGATGATCATCTTTTGAGATCAGATCATCTTACCATCTCTCTTATTTAGTTAATTCAATCAAAGGGAGGGAAAAAAAAAAAAAAAAAAAAATTCAAGTAAGTGTCACTGTTGAATATTTACCTAAATGTATAAATCTAATCTTTAGATCTGTTTACATTCTCTAACATTGTGTTCAGGTATATTACATTTCCTGTAGAATAAGGCCTATCTTGAAGTTGAGTTATTTAAATTCTACCTTCATAGTTTACTCAGCTTTCAGATTTCTGGCAGCTCTAGTTATTTCTTCTTCCGCTGTTAAAATAGCCCTTTTTATACACGTATATTTCTCTGTTCAACCGCAAAACACTCAACACGCTCAATTCTTTAATTTAGAAAGCTGGAAATACCTTCAATAAAAAGGCAGCAGCTAGCTGAGCCAAGTCTTTCAATTTTATTGGATTTGAGTACGAGGTTGTCAAGTTATTAGATTATTTATGATTTCTCTTCAATGGATTTCTCTTCCTTTGGTGATCTGAAAAGTGACGAATTACAGTAACAGCAACATGCCCTGGAAGTGGAAGTGGAAGCGGGATGGGTGGCTCATTCCATCAATCTACATACATCCTTCCATTAAGAACTTGACAAATCAGTCGTTGATTCGCGGCATCCATAAACACACTGGGGATGAAAACGTGGGTCCTATCTTGGTTTGTTTGCCCCGACCGCAATCACATGCATCCGACGCGAATGTTGACGTCGATTACTATACGTGCACGTGCACATACCATAAGGTACATCTGGATGTGACCACGTATGAAGTGGACCAATAGCCTCTTAAATGAGTGTGGCACATCCAGAATTTACCTTTTGCCTTGGTTGGGAGTGGCCATTTCAGAAGAAAAGGAATAATTGTAGATCGTAGGTGAAATAGCGGTGTCAAAAAGCATCAATTATTATTCAATTGCGGTAACTAACTAACTAGTTAGTTTATAAATTTGCTTATTTTAACTAACTACACTTCATTCCAAAGCTAGGCTTGCACGCTCTTCGCGGGTAGAAATCAGGTTGCGGCTTGGAAACCTCACTCGCGTGCATCCAGTGATGCCACCCGGTTTACCGTAGAGTTTAATATTCAAGACATAAAAGACTCGGGTATAATAATAACATTAGAAAATTAATAGTATGTGCTTGTCATTACGCGGATGCGCCGCCTCAGCAACCAGTTCCAAAACAGGCGTCAATCTTCCTGATAGATAAAATTGTGGCCACTGCTTTGTCCAGGTGAGAAAAGTAGTTAAATTCTAAGTTAAGCCTCAAATTTTATTTTAGAGACACACTCCACGACGGTGCCATGAATTTGCCCAGCCTTACAAGATTGACCAACTTCGATTTCAATGTCCAGCAACTTCTAGAACCCGGTGAAGAATAAATAACATCATGACCTTTAGAGGTCGCACGAATGGACTTGACAGATATATTTTTGTCCGTCTTTTAGTGGTGGGATGCTTCGGGCAGTTCATGGCGGAAGGATCTTTAAATCGTGGTCAGTTAAATATTTTCTTGACATTAGTTACCGATTTCCATTTTCAACGGGCTTAGCTCATATGTGAGAGAATCCAGCTAGTACCTCATTGATTAGATGACATTTGAAAATATTATTTACTATTTCTAAAAATGATAATTTAAGAAAAATCGAGGAAGTGTTCAGCTGTGAGGTAATCATCAGCGTCTTTTAAAAATATGGAAGAAATTAAATAAATTAATGAATAAGAAAAGGAAAACAAGAAAGGTGCTCGGCTTTTACACAAAAAATGACGTCAATATTGCTTTTCAATCGTCTTTTGCGCTCTCAAGCAAGACTCCAAACATGAATGATAACATCGTTTCTCTGAAGCTTTTGCGCAGAGTAGTAAACAATAACCTTTAGCGATACTCCTAATATCTGTTGATTAAAGAGCTTGATGTACCTATCTTTCCAACTCACGTTCTTTCCCAGTCCACTCACGAGCAAGTCTCTGAATAGTTCGTTCCACCAAGAGTATAATAATCATGATCGCCTCCCTTTACGGATGGCATTGGCGGGAAAGCCATGCTGAGAAGGGCCAGAGCTGCAAAATCATAGAAATAAGCTCTAGTTTCTCCACAAAAAGAAAACAAAGAAAGGGAAGAAAAGGTAAGAATGATGGGTAAAACACAAGGGACTCGAAATTATCCAGACCCATTATCAAGTAGGCGTAACTATCTGTAGATTTTTTTTGAACTTTGTGAGCAGGAAAACAAATACAAGTTACATATATGACGAGCAGAGGACCGTACCTGCGTGCCCCAGACCATGTCTGGGTGTAAAGGAGCAAGCAAAGTGACATTTTCCCAACCAGTGGGAACGCGTCCATCAATTTCCCCTGTTTGGTAATTAGTTTTCTGCCTTTTACCTAATTTTTGTGGAGAAACGAAATTAGCTGACTATCGCATGGAAAGCGAAGGTAGAATCCATACCCATTTGCGTCATTTCCATCGATTTCAATATGTGGGAGTAACTAATGGCGGGAAGACTCTTGGCCATTAGTTAACTATCGTATCCAAGGCAACTCCAGTAGGAAGCGGATGGAATCTTATTTTCCCGACGCTTTCTCCTTGGAGTAACCCTAAATTATCTACTATATGTTGTCTAATTGCTGCTTCGCATATGACTACAAGCCCAAATCTGTAGTTTTCTGGTTGCAATCGTGGTGTCGACACTTTGTAACCACTTGGGTCCTCTTGACAATATCCTACACCTTGAGGAAAATAAACAGTGATTTGCCCACAGTTTTCCCAAACTCGATCATCCCAAAAGGTGATTGGGTCGTCATGGTAGGCTGACGGGGAACAAACAGTTAAGTTGGAAGCAATTCAGATGATTCACTTCTTGAAATATATATGAATATATTCGCATATTGATGTCATACTTACAGTGGACATCGTCGTGAAACGCATTGTTCAGCCATCTATCCTGGCACCATAGGTCAATTTGGCTAGTACCGTCGGCCATTCGCTGCAGCAGCTCCAGCTTCTCCAGAAACTATCAGCGTCACAGGGAAAGGAGATAGAAAGAATCGCATTTGCACTCTCTTACCAATCACATATTGCAATTTCTCCTCATGCAACCAGATTTTTCAATTGATATTGAGGTTCAGTCCTCAATAAGCAGTCCCAAACGGAGCCTCATAGGTATATTGTGTAGATCGTATTCGCCCTCTTATAATGTCGCTGTGGTCATAGCCACCTGCTTAAGAAGTCTCTCAGGTTCGTGCAGACGTAGGAGGGCAACATTTATTTACTCCCCATCTTATTTAGTCATGACGAATATTATAACTAATTACGCACTGCAAATTCTGCTCTTACCAGTTGACCTATGCCATAACCTTTCACCCGTGTTTCAATATGTCCTCGGAGTTCATGGGCACAATCTTTTATACCTAGGGTGAAGGAATAGCTAAGTTGTGTGGAAGTCATAAAAATGAGAATTTTAAGCCCTTTCCAATGATTGAGCGAAATAGTCTTCATGTTTGAGTTGAGTGGAGTCATATGAAACAGTATAGAAAATATCACAGAAATCTAACAGGAAGAAAAGAAAAAGCAGAGAAGATGAAACACGATATTTGACGGAGATCATTAACTGCTATTTTCATGTTGTTAGTATATATATTTATATGTATTTACATACACTAATGATGAGACTGGTGTGAATGTTGTTGATAGATGTACTGGTTGGGGGCAATGGATCACATACATAAATGAGATCAGAGGCAAAAGTCAACAATCAAATATGAAAAAGATATTGCAACAGCTACATTTTAAATTATAGATGTTGCATTGCAGGTCACTGTCAAGATAATTAATAGTATAACAAATCTGGTCAAATCACAGAAATTAACAAATGAATGTAGGTACATACAAAGAAGCTTTGATATAGTTTATCTCACATATCTGACAAATTGCTAACATTAATAAAATACTTTCTTCTGAAAAGAATTGAATTCTGCCGCCAAGTATGTTACTGTGAAAAAGTCACCGGAATCTGGGAAGCAATTCTTTGAGATGTTGGGCGAACCACACTAACTTACTGCACCGCGTCTGAAAAAGCCCTTAGGCAAAGTGACGAGTTTAACCAGTTAACTCTAAACTCCTTGAAACATCTAACTTACCAAGGGCAAAGTTCTCCAAACAGCATAACTGTTTCGTATGCATGGAATCTGCACTAGTGAAATCCTCGAATCAACTTCATAATTCGACTTAACCTGAATTGGAGGGTAACTTAGGCGGTCCAGACTACAACGTTAAACATTTTCGGCATTCTTCCGCAAGCTCCAAATTATTTAGTGTTTACGACTTGCATGGCTTGCATGACATCTGCGCCGCAAGGTCCCCGCCTAGATATGGAAGTCAGAAATGCAAAACATTATATCATAAACCAGTGTTCCCCACTTAGCTTCACGAGCGCAAGCCGCTTGCTGCTGGACTCCTGAAGAGATGTTTGGGAAGTCACTTTTATTTATCCTGGCAATCCCGCCCTATCGTTATTCGGAATTTGAGACCGAATTGTGAATCCCAGCCATGCAAAGTAGGCTGATGTAGTAAAATACGGCAATTGTGGGCTTGGTCCTGATTTCTATGGTCTAGGGAATTGTTTGTTCTCTTGTGATGCGAAGTCAAAATGCGGCAGTAAGTCGCTCAATCAGTGAACCCACCATTTAATCGACCACCCTGGCGATATTTCTCTTAAATATCAGACAAGAGGTCATGCTTAGATTCGAAGCTTATGTTTTGTTTTCCCATGTCATAACCGTTGGAAAATCCATTGCTCCGACTTGACTTCCTTATCATGATTCAATCTAGAATACGCACCGACGGGACAGGAAAAGTGTCCGTTCAATGTTTGTTGCTCAGAGTTCGGGTGAGCCCTATTTAGTAAATTCTATAGGCATCCATCATTGAACCGGCACTGATATACAAGTGAAAGTTTTGTGGTTCTACGGAAGAATTTTGTGGGAAGCGCTGTCAAAGTGGTGCGAGCAAATTAAAAGACCGTAAGTACTACCTCAAAGCGCTCAGATAGCTTTTTGGTTTATATTCTCTCACTGATTCAAGCTGAAGTTCATGCTCTGGGAGCTCTGCAAGCCAACGTTACATTGGCTACTTCAAAAACTGGAATTACGATCATCTATATGATGTCCTTCGTCCGTCAAGAATCAATACGAAACCAATGACAGTGAGGAAGCACCCTTTCATGCTTTCTTGTGCTATTAGTGTAACCGGAAAGCTGATTTCATTCCACAGCATCTGAACTATGCGTTTGCTCAAATCCACCCAAAAGACAATACAGTGACCACAATGAACGACTATGACGAGATGTTTTACCATGAATTTACGGACAATCCAACGCTGAAGTGTTTTACATCAATTGGGTGATGGGACGCCGGTGGCAAGTTTTTTTCTAATATGGCAAAATCTAGTGAATCTCGAAACGCATTTATTGACTCAGGAATTAACCTCCTGGAGCGATATAGAAGCTGAGAGCTGCTGTGGGAAACATATATGGGATAACAGTGACACTCTCAGATTCATATTGTGAGTATTTCATTATGCTACTTACCAAAGTCAATCATAGGCTAACACAAAAAGCTAGGGTATTTAAGAGGGTTTGATGTTAAAGGAATGGCCCAATATGTGGACTGGTTTAATGTTATGACATATGATATTCATGGCACCTGGGATGGCAACAGCAAATGGACAAAGGGGGTTATTTCCCCCATACAAGTTTAACTGGTAAGCAACCTAGTTATTTAGAAACTGCTGATATGTCCCTAACAAATAGAGGAAATATCATCAGGTTTGGATCTTCTGTGGCGGAACTCAGTCCATCCTGAGAAGGTTTCCTCGGGTCTAGCATTTTACGGAAGGTTCGTTTGCATTGGCGGGTCCTAGCCGCACTACTCCAGGTTGTACTTTCAAAAGACACGGTGATGAGACCTCCGGCGGTGCTAAACCAGGTAAATGTACTTTGACCAGCGGTACACTATCCAACTACGAGATCAACAGGATTTTGAAGGAGAAATTTCCACCGGCCGTTTATGACCAAAACTAGGCAGTAAATAGGATTACGTGGGATCGCGATCAATGGTACGAACATGTCTTGAACTTTCCCCTTTGCATTTAACCCCATTTCCTCTCCTTTATATGCATCTTGTCATAACTTCCATTTTCTACTTTTGGCAACGACGGAGGATTGATTGCAAAGTACAATAGGGTTTCATATGATGATGCAAGAATGCTAAAGCAAAAAGCAGATTTTGTGAACAAATTGTGCTTGGGAAGAATCTTCACCTGGGCCATTGATCTTGGGGGCCCCGGTACAGTGAAGAACCCGAATTCTATGAGAAGTGACGAAAAGGATCTTGACGGTGCTGATGTAAATGGAAGAGACGGCGGATCGGGGGATGTCTATGTCTCTCCGGATATTTTAACGAAGGACAATCCGGTTATAGCATGTGTACCCCCTTGTACATTTATCTTTCCCGCAATCTCCTTGAACGCACACACCACAATCACCTTCCCTCCTTATACGACCTCTTTGGAAGTTGCCTAGCCGACAGTGCATGTAGTTACTCTTCCTGGGGGTGCAGTATCGGTATCAACCGGCCTGGCGAGAACAATTCAGACCACTGCACTTACCATTCCTCCTGTTATGACAACAAAGATCGATCTGTGGAACTGAAAGGTTACTGACCCTGATGCTCCAAAAGCCACATATGTTCTTATGAGCAGCATCCTCCTGTCTCCCATTGTGGTTACAGATAGACTGCCACAAAACTGAGGAGATGATCATCCGAAACAAACTGGGGGCCGAAATAACCCTCAGGCCACGAACATCCCAGGCAGTTCAGCGATTGGGTCTGAAGCAGCTATCCTCCCTGGAATAATCAATGGAAATAATCCCCAGAGGACTAACGGCGTTACAAACAGGTCAAAGACCGGATCTGGTGATTCCCATCCTCCAGGGACAACCAAGGGAAACAACCCTCAGAGAATAGATGATGGCATGAAACACTCGACGCCCGGGTTAGATGACTCCCACCATACCCGAGCTGCCGGAGGTAACGAAAAGGACCGAGAAATGAGGCTTGGTCTTGACCATTTAATCCTTACATCACACCTACCAGATAGTGCAACGACTCTCCCATCATGACTAGGACAATTACTCCGCCACCATATCCATACGTCCCCAAAATAAAGACCGATAACGACCACGGTCGTAGGAAATTACCCACCGTCACATTTACAAAAGGTTCCCCAGAGCCTGTTTGTACAGGAAATTGCGGATCAAAATGCAAGGGCCCCTTTTGCCGTGAGCCTTGTGAGCATGATTGCGGTGATGATGGGCGCGACTTCTTTTCTGAGAGCGACAGGACGAGACCTAAAAATGTTAATAAATGCAGTGGTCGAGACTGAAAGGAAGGCAAATGCATGGTATTATTTTGTATCAAGTTTGGCTGTTTTGGGCTCGATTGTCTTAATGGAATCTGCTGGGTTCCTAGATGCGTGATTACGATGTGCGGCGGGCTGAACTGCATTCCGCAGCGGGGCGGTTTCACCGGTTGTTGAGTGCAAATCGAGTGGGTGCGTGGGTCCGGACTGCGATAAGGTTACGGGCCGATGTTTCGGCCCACAATGTATTGGCTTTGGCTGCAATGGACCCGACTTGTGAAAATGGTAGTTGTAAGGGCCATCGCTGCACTCCACTTACATGTGAAGGCAAGAATTGCGCGTCTGGATTTTGTACGGGACCCGAGTGCGAGACAGGAAAGGATGGCTACAGCGGAGCACAAACCGCTCGTCGATGCACTGAACTTGTCACGAAAATACAACTGAGTACGGCGAGTCGTGACAGGACGAGGACCGCTTGTTCCACGGTGACCGGGTGCTCTGTTGAACTCACGACTATTACTACCACAACCACCATGACTAGTACTTCTATTAAATTTGCAACTATGATGGAATTCCAGTTGATACGCCGCAGCACTATAGTGGCTTGGGCCAGTACCTTGTATACCAGATGCACAGCCGGGATGCCACTAGGATTCATTTTAAGCCAACCACGGCGAAAGGAGAAATGCCGAGGAAAACTGCAAGTCCTCCAGGGGAGGGGCCTGACGTCGTAAAATGCCTTGAAAAAGGCAGCCTAGCGCATCGCGGAGGTATGAACGCAACTATAGAGAAATTCTGTTGTGATATCAAGGGTAAAACAGTGAGATAAGGACAGAAAATTCAAGGACTCTACAGCGCTGTGTGCTTAAAGGGATTTTTTCGGCTGCGTGATTGACACCAAAATTTCTGTAGAAGGAATCAACGATTGTGAACCATGGGAATTTGGACGGAGGACTCAGGGCCGGACGATATGTGTGGTCATTCCCTGAGAACGCCGGTTGATAAATGCATCAAACGGGGACGAGTTTCGAACAAGGCGGCATTTTAACGACTGGTTGCGCTCGCTGGAGATCCAAAAGGCTTAGATACCCGCTGCGAAACAGTACTGGATTCTCAAAAACCACCTTCCCGAACACTACGACACCTTGGGCGCCGTTCAATTCCACCTCGACTTATAACTGACCAAGCGAGTTGGGTTGGTTATGATTTGGTTTCGGATACTAGGTAGAGTGTCATTATCTGGTGAGGATAGCCATTGGGGACCGAAGTGCGCTAAATCAATCGAATGTACGGAGTACTGTTGTTTACATTCACCCACGTCCATTCGAGAGAGATCTTAGGGGTTTTTTTATATAACATGGTGTTTTCATTTTGATGTTTTTGGTTTAGTTTGTCGGTGTGAGGCTACGTCATAATTCTTCTCTGTAACAGTCTAACAACTCCGATCACTAACTAGTTAGTTGAACTAGTTAACGTTAACTTGGCTCTTGCTTTAACTACTTACTGGTGAAGTTCATATATATTCGGGCTAAGGCGCAAGTAAACCATTTCCACCTGTACATCCATTAACATACTTGTTTACTCTGGTTGAAGTGGTGTCTATTGTATCAATCAGAGCGATGTAACCAAATCTCTCTCTAGATTGATATTTTCTTGGAAGTATGCGGAGTGCTCCACATATACCACTAGGATATCACGTATACCTTCATAGATATCGTCGTTTAAAGTTATACTTCATAAAGACAGCTCAGGGGTATCCCCGTGATAGCATTTGGGGCGAGGAAGGGGAGAGCAGGGGAAATGTAGAGACCGATTGAGTATTGTATTTTTACTTGATTCTCATCCTTCAATGATGACGATGGAATTGGCCGGTGCACTTCATTTGTTTTCTCTATTCTTTATTGGCAGGGGCTTTTTTAAATATCTATCGAGCAATTTTTCAACCACGGGGAGGAGAAAAGGATCTTCGGTAATTGGAACAAACTATGGACGGTTAACAAAAGTGTCAGATTTCTCTCCCAGAAGCATTTAACTATATGCCTGGATGTCTGTCCAGATAGAGAGTCCAAGACGGTTAAGCCCTTTTATGAAAGAGCAGTGCTTACTCATTAACCGGCTTTTGAGTAAACTAGGGGAGCTCAAGTCGTTAGAAATCAGTAGAGACACATGCATACCACGGGTTGGGGAACGCTGTAAATAGGTTTCTCTTTTTTAACGTTCTCGTTCAGCCGAATTTTCAATTCGCAATGCAAAACCAGCTCAGATATGGAATTTAATATAGTTATATTACCTTCCTGGGGGTAGAAATGGAGTAACTAAGCATTGCAATTGTGACTTGATATATTGGTTAGAGTGAAGAGGTAAGACAACAGACTTTTGGTCGTGAAATGATAATGCTATTGCAAGTTTTCCTGTGTGACTGATTTCCGATTTCGATTCAAAGGTGTTTTTCGTGGAAGAAGTTCGTGTAATCATGAATGGTTGAATGAAAGGATTGGCGCAGGTTCTCTCTCCATTGGCAATTGGACGGACAGTGTGGAGTAAGTAGTTCATGGGGATAAAAATAGTTGCGCCTGTTGGTGGCTTGGAAAACGGACCCGTGTTAATCTGGGGCTGGGGAGTGGGAATGTTTTGACAGCTTCGTTCGCAAATCGTTATTATTGCGAGATAAGATAGTTTTGTGTCTTTGTATTTATTTTGTATGGAGTGACTAATTTTCCCCCCCTCTTTCTTTCTTCTTTTCTTTCTCTTTTCCTCTTCCTCTTCCTCTTCCTTTATTTCTTTATTTCTTTATTTCTTTAATTTTTTCCCCTGTTTTTCTTTTGGAATGCATCGGTTGTCGAAGCATGTTGGTGTGTTAATTTGGTCTGTGCGAGATGCTAGCAGCGAGTTGCAGAGGTAAATTGAGATGACAAACGATGTCCGATGTTTGTTTTTCCCTTAAGAAAACGGTGTGTTTTTGAACCAGCTGTTCAGATTCTCCTTCAAAAGATAGTCGGACGGCAACGATATGTCATATAGTTACGAGCTGCAACAGCCAGAGCTGGTATTGCATGAGAGTTTTGAGGTTGCGTACGTATTCTAAGCATCATCAACCTTGGGGAAGGGCGAAAATTAACATCACATAAGCTATTTCCTAGTCTTGTCCCATAAAATTAGCTGCAGGAAGGTGGAGCCCCCACCCTGGTGCGATCTGTGGCTTTGAAAGTTTGAAACTCAGAGCACGGCCGTTCCACCATAAGACGACGGGGTGCGACGTTGCGCTTCATCCCCCTGAAGGCTTGAGACTCTTTTACTGGATCTGACCCCTTTTTTCCTCCCTTCTGATGGGATTGGCTCTTAGACCAAATGGGGTAGATGGGATTTTTTTTTTTTTTTTTTCGCGGGGGCACTCAGTAGCACCAACCCTAAAATCGAGTCCTCCATTCCAGAACGCACCTTAAATTTTAAGAGTAAGGAATCAGCAAAAGGCCAGGGCTCGGCTAGGATTTGGAAGTTGACGCAAGGACAGTGTTGCACCTTTATTATTATTATTATTATTATTATTTAGTTCTTGATTGCTGAAGGTGCAGAGAAGACGCCAGATGACAAGAGGTTTTAAAAGCTTGTCCCACGACGACATTTTGTCTATCGTTGGTACGGATCGGCATGTTTGTTGGACTAGGGGACTAATGGACCTGTCACCAGTCGCCAGTCGAGTCCATAAAGAGGGTGAAGGGTTTATTTAAGCCTAGCTCTGTCCCGAAAAAAAAAGTTGATCTGGTCCCTGGAAGTGCCTAGGCAGCCCTCTCAGCATCTGCAGAAAGACTGATATTAGATGGTTAGCATTAGCAGAACTTCTCATCTAGGAGTCAACGTATTTAGTCGGACTGGCGTCCCACAGATATGGGAATGGAAAAGAAGATCGGGCCCCCAAGGGCTTGTTTTCTTTTTCTTCTGCTAATTTGGGAACAAGGCAGTATATTTGTATGCAAACTGCCTACTTGCAAACTGGTGTGGAAAGCTGGACAGTCCAGCACACTGACCAAACGGCGACACAGAGATCTTAGAATAGCGATGGCGGATCAGGGGGTACAATGGATAGTTGAAAAGAATAATAATGAAGTCCTTGGGTTGAGTCGGGTTTTATATCTCGAGAAGTCACCCATCAATCAACGAGCCTGTTGGAGATGGATGCATAAATGGATGTGTCATAATAGGCGTAGAGATATAGACAAGCATTTTCAAACATCAACTAACTCATATAAAACATTAGCATAACTAATTAAATATCCCTGGCATGACAAATCAGATATTTTACGTATCCCCATGCTGGGCTTGAGCCCAACCCCTCTGGCATAAACAGGTCTTGAAGGGTGAAAAAGTAAATATGCGGCGGCATCGAGATATGCTGATTATAGGGATAATATTATATATATAAATCGTCGATGGCACTGGAAATATCCATGTCTGACATGCCATTGCCCTGCCATGCTCTTGGACCTCATACCTAAGTAGTGACATGGAATATATTCCAGATCCGTAGTTAGGTGAGGTATTGTTAATAGTTATTGTCCAAGGAGTAAATAACTAATTTTGATGGAAATGGCTGGGTGTGTGGCATTAACCAGCGCAGGCCGTGGCAGCCCCTGAACCGGGCTCCCTTGGCCAACACAGCCAACACCCCAGCCAACGCCCCAGTCCACGCCCCAGCAGCCCACACCCCAGCCCACGCTCCTTTTCCACCAGCAACCAACGTGTTTCCTCTCATCCGCATCCTCGACCTCACCTCGTCCCATCTCACTCTTCAATATTTTCTTTTGTTGTCTTCTTGTCTCTTGTCCCCTTTGCCTTCTCTTCTTGTGTCCTATTCATCCAGCTCTCCAGATCTCTGGTTGTCTGTTGCCTTGCTCTTCTACTCCCTTCACTCCCTTCTTTCGATTGCAACCAAGGGTCTTCTCTTGTCATCTTCTCTCGCCCCTTTTTCTGGGCTCTTCCCGAGATCCTGCCAACGTTCCTTATTCCTCATTGCTCCGCCCCCTTTTTACTTCTACTTCTTCTCTCCATGCTGGTCACCTTTATCTTTGCTTTCCCTCCTTCTTTGTTCTTTATAGCAGTCACATAAACCCTTAGAACTAAAAGACAGCTACTCTGACTTCAATTCTACCTAGGTACGGAATAAAATATCCCCTATTCCGCCACTCAAAATTTCAGTCTCTGTGTTGTGTTAGGGACTGTTGACTGACTGAATGTACCTAACATATAGTACCTCATCTCAAATACCCAGAACCCTCATTTATATCTTTGTGATTTAGTGCTACTCAAACCTTCTCTGAATCTTCACACCATCCACATTCTTCCATTTTCGAAACTCCTCCAGGACGCCCTCGAAATTCTCGTCGGATATCCATCTTTGGTCCCCTCTTTTTTTGTTTGGCAAACCCAAGCTTCAATTGTGGTCGATTCGGCGAATATAGACCAGTGTTGTTGTTGTCTCCTGCCTGAGAGCAGCTGGAGAGCACGAATCAAAACATTTGACGTTGCTCGTCGCTGTTCGACGGTCACTGGGGATCTAAGGCGCCTGGGTTATAGAAGTAGCGTTATCGTCGCCTTTGCGACTCTTGCCGTCCTCCCGTATACATATATGTTGATCCTCTTTTAACATTTAAAACCGTCTCCCATTCGCACAATGTCATTTTTCGCTCGAGTTTTCCGCAGCAGAGATGCTAGCAGTTCCAAGAAACAATCAAAGCAAAACGGCGTTGGTCAGGTTCTACAGAAGCCCCAATGGACCGACGCATTCCTCCGTACGGAGGTGAGCCCAGAAGAGGTACAGGAGTTGCTACATGGATGTACGATCGAGCTAAAATCGAGAGGTCCGTATAACTATCGGGTATCCGTGACAAATGCGATTTTATGTTTTGTTAAATGTTCAAATTCCATATTTGTTATTCAGGTCTCGAAATTCCGTTTCTTCTTCTTCCGTTTCGTCCCAACTCGGACCCGAGTTCGGCACGCACTTTTATTCGACACTACTTCAGCCCTCCTCCGGAGAGGCCTGAACCACTTCGCGGGAAACATCTATCACAAGAGCTGCGTTTGACGGAACCAATGGTATATGCCTCACTGCTGTTTATATTTGGACCAGATAGCTAATTCAAAAATTTTGGTCATATTGTAGGTATTGTGCAGCATTATGAAATGGTGCTGGAGCCGATTGCCTGGAGGAGTGGTCACCTGGGAAGCATATGAATTATTCAAAGTTGGAGAACAAGGTTATTATCCTTTCCTGACGTACAGTAGTCCTAGTGGGTGACTATTTTGAGTGCTAATGCTTCCTAACTGGGTATATAAGACTCCCAATTCGCCCGCGATGCTTTCTCAACCTTTATTCCTTTAAGCGTCGAATCAGATGCCCGAACGAAAATTATCTTAGACTTCTTCGATCTTATGTCTGCTGTTGCAGCTCACGGAAAGACCAATGGCTTTGGAGGGCGTAAGCTTTCGCGATATGCCGGTTGGTGGGCTTTCGATCATACTGACTCCGGGAATGGGTTTGAATCAAGTTATAAGAACTGGGCAAGGTAAAATAGAGATATGAGGCTCCTACAATACCAATGTGTTTTGCTTATTTAAAAATTTCCATAGTGCGGCGGACGCGACGAGCCATTTATTTTTTGCTTACCTTCGTTCACTATCTCCTGATTCCCTTCGTGGGTCCAATGGCATTTCTACCCTTCCAATCTCGTTGCAAAATCTCGTCAAAGCTACAGAGTACCCACCAGAACCTCCAACCCTCCTTCAAGTGGAATCAACCAAAGTTGTAATGATTGTCGACACGGTTTCCCCGACCCCATTCGCTTTGCTTCGACGGGCCAAAAATTTCGAATATAGAGATAGCGACCATGCCTTGCAGCAATTCTCAAATTTCGATGATCCTGTCAGAGCGCTAACTGACGAATGTCGTAGAGTGTTGCGATGCATATCCTCCACGAACCAATCCAATGTTTCGGCAACTGCCCAAGAAACAGCTGATCTCCGTGATGCATCATGGTCACGATTCGAGGATCTTGGCTTCACGGATACTATCGAAGAGGGAGATGGTGAAAATGATGGGGATGGCACTGTGACGAAACATGCGGGATCGCTGGGTCTGAGGTCCGCTCCTCACTCTCGTACTGCTGATCTTGGTCGACCGACCACACCTTCATGGGCTGATTTCCTCTCGTCTGGATTTGCTGATGAAAATGAACCGCAAAGCCGTCCTCCATTCCTCCTGCCTCCCGACAAAGTCCTCCCGCCAATACAGACTGTGCGCGGACAAAGTTCCCAGTCTCATAAACGGATGTTTGACCAGGAATCGTCTGCTGAACCAGGGGAACTGGCAAGCATAACTACCATGGACCTGGATGCTTCATTCTGGTGGGTTTGGATTAGCAGTTTATCTGGCGAGGAACCAACACAGCGAAAAGCCGTTTTTGGACGCTGCGCTTTGATTGAAACTTCTATCTCAGGTGGCAGGTGGTTCGTGTTGGAGGAACAGGTGAAAGGAGCAGCCCCGGAACCCGAAGTGGGCGCATATATAGCTGAAAAGAAAGGCTTTTTTGGTTTTAGATCGCGAAAGGGGCGATTAATACGACGGAAGTCAGCTGTAAAAAAAATCTCAACCATTGAGGAACCATACCAGCGTGCTAACAGCACCACAGCAATGAGCAAGACTAGCATCGGCCCCGATCAGCATGCCAGGATCCAAGCTGCCGCTGCTGCACTCCAGCGGAAACACCGAGAACAAGAGCAGGAACAGGAGCGAGCGGCAGAACATCGCAATAAATCGGATGACTTAAGCTATTCGAAGTCGAACTCAATTATGTCCATGCAACCGCTGGTTATGACTGAGGTCTCGCAGGCGATGAAGTGGGCTAACAATTACGATAAGAATGCCGTTCGAGCTGCCTATCTCGGAAATAACTTGGCTGGTACAGGCGCTCCTGCAGAGTCCCTGCAAATTTCTACCAATAGACTAGCACAAAATGGGTCGCTTAATCCCAGCAGCCCCCCTTCAGATCGCGAACATCTTGTTCCTTCAAAAGAAGATGCAAATGCTTCCCAGCCTGCTGCTGAGCAGTCTGAGATTTCGAAGAACACGGCATCTGACTTGGATCCTGCCACCACACCTGCTTCCGAACCTCCTGCCATTCATTCCGTTGAAACAGCTTCACCAGAACGGGCCCGAGGTAAGAAATCTCTTGACTCAACCGAAGAACACAAGAAGCTTAAGAAGAAGCCTGGAAACACAACGCTTAAGGGCATGTTTAGTAAGAAAACAGAAAAGATAGAGCAGCCTCCAGTGAAACCAACCGGAGCGGAGACGTCTGCCGTTGCTGCTGCAAGGGCTGCCCTGGAAGGTCGAACTGCACAGGTCGCACAACCGTCGACTTTAGCCCCGTCCAAACTCCCTGCTGCGCACCGCCTTTCTGGATTTGGAAGGAAAAAGCCTTCCGAATCAAACCCCACACAGACTATTTCCAAGCCAAACACCCCACCTGTTCCTGAGGAACCAAAGACCGCCCCCACCCCAGTCACCACCCCGTACGATGGCCCACCATGGACTCGAAGGGAAAAGGAACTCGACGCCCTTTCCCGCGTGGATACTAACGAGAAAGCACGGGCTGATCGTGAATTTTCCTCCTTCGACCACCAAGCCCCATTCGTTGACCAGCCCGCTTTCGTCCCCGTGGATACTCCCACCACAGAAGAATTCCCGGAACATGACCGCCAGGCTCACCATCCACCCGCCAAACAACAAGCTCCAGTGAATGGCCATGACAAGCCAGAACCTATGGAAAAACCAATGGCGCTGCAGGACCGTTGGGCTCAAATCCGGAAGAACGCTGCCGAGCGTGCTGTCCATGTAGACGACCATCCGTCAAGAAGGCATGAGCCAGAAAAGACGGATGATGGCGAAACAAGTGGAGAAGAGAGTAAGTGCTACTTCCCCATGATTAGTTGTTAGACCAGATGAATTAATGGCTTTTGTTATTATTATTATTATTTTAGCGATCGAATCCCGAGTAGCACGCATCAAGGCTCGTGTTGCTGAGCTGACTGGTAATATGGAATCCTAGAGCATTTGTGCTAAACGATGTTCCCACGGCTTTTCCATGCTTGGATTGCGTATTCCCAATGTCAGAAGATAATGGGCGAAGCCCGGACTTGTTTTCAAAACTTCAACTGTTTCAATTATTTTGAATTGCCATTTTCTTGCATTTCTCTTTCCCTTTACCTTCGACTTTTCTTTCTTATACCATCTTTTCTCTTTTCTGTGGCTTATAACTGCACCCTGGTTCCTGAACTGATATTCCAACAAATTTCGATCCCCCTAAAAATTTTCTCGAACCTTGATTCTAGCTCTCCCTTATTCTCCACATCCTTCCCCCTCTTCAATCTGCTAGCTCTCCCCAAGGATCTTTGGATCGTCCCTTTTGTCGTAAAAGGTCTCCTTTTGAACAACCATTTTGTCTTCTAAGATTGCCCAGTTTTGTTTTTCTTTGTTTTTGCTATTTGCTCTGCAATGTGTCCTGTAGCCACTTCTTTTTGTTTCTTTCACTAAATTATACCACTTGTCCTGCCGTTTGATTTTTCTTTTTTCTTTTTTCATTCTGGTTTTGTTTTGCTTTCTTTTTTTTTTTGAGATACTGTCTACATCCCTGTTTTTGATATTCCTTCCTTTTTACCAGTATATTTGTCCCATGTGTCTTTTCGATAAATCTATAAAATCAGGCTTTAGGAGTGCGATGCGCTTGCATGGTCTATTAGGATAAGGCCTCTCCCAAATTACTGCCTTCAGAGTTACCTATGTTGAGGAAACGAAGGAAGGTGGTTCGTCGTCACTCAGGAACAGAACGCGGCAATGAATCATCCATTTGTCGATATGTTCTATCTCTACCCCCAAAACCCCAAACCCCAACTCGTCCAAAAAAATTACATATCCATTGCTTTTTCCGCCTTCTATGAAATCAGAAATATGGTTGTTATCAAAGATCCTGAGCGCAAAAGCCAATTTTACTTCTAATTGTTAATTGATGTGCATTTCGCTTTTAATTTAGTTTAATTTTAATTTAATATTTATTTCCACTCCCCCCCTCCTCTTCAATGTCTTTCACTACCATACCGCTTCATCTCGAGTTCTCGTGATCCATAGGTTTTAAATATTATAATTTTTTCTCGAATCCTATATCCCACTTTGCGGACAACCAACCACTACTAGTTTGCTCTGAACGGCACTCATTATTTCTCTTTGTATTGACATCTCCATGGATAGATAGGTTCACCTTAAGAGTTTATTTTTGCTGTATAATATCTTCTTCCCGCTCAATCATTAAGCGCTGGTGTTTATCGTGCTTAGCTACATTTATCATCTCGTGGTTTTCAACTAATTAACTCTTGGTCTTCGGGCGGGTCCAAGTGGGCTATATAAATTAACTAATTGACTACTTTATTGAGCCGATCTGGCTCACTCTCGTTTCTTCCCCAACAACGTTTTCAACATATCAGCTAGGCCCACAACGACGGACCTCCTCTTTGACGTGTCTTCTTCATTCTCCTTTGCGCCGTCGTCAGCTGATTTGGATTGTTGGATAAAATTCCCTTGGCCACCGCGCTGTATATCGGAACCGAAAAGGAACGGTTAGAATATGGGGTTTATGAATTATGTTTTTTGACGGAAATGTTGGAGAGAGAACAAAAAAAAAAAAAAGAAAACAAAAAAAAGCGAATGCGAGACATACTCCGGTATGATAATCACCCTCTTGGGATGGATGGATTGCAAGCACTGGAATTATGTCGGCGTCATGTGGCTGTTTCGTGGTTGGAGGGAGGTCCGTAGCGGCAATGTTGCCTGCTCCGCCGCGCTACAAGTGTACCAAAAAGGAAAAAGATGATGAGTCGAGTGTCTGGTAAAAGCCAGTGATCGGGAAAAGGGGAGAAAGGGGAGAATAAAAACGGACATGACGTTAAGAACATGAACGAGGCCGGAAGGGACAATGCAAGAAAAAGGCAGTAGAGTACGTACACCAGCAGAATAAGCTCCATCGCCCTGATCGCCTTCTGGACCCTGGCGTGTGATCTCAGCATCTACATATCTGTTATGAATGTTAGATGATGCGCATCTTCCGACTTCCGTCTGATTCATTGCATGAAGCGCAGGAAGAGCAATCATGGAAAAATGTTGAACAGATATTGCGCTACGTACTCTGTAGAATCTGCGCTGATATTTCCTTGACCTGCAAAGCATCGAGAGTTGTCAGCACGTGCCCAGACCGAATCATTCTCCTAATAAATCTACAGTCCATACCTCCTCGACCATGAGACACGATTGGCGCTGAACCCATCTTCTTTTCTTTTTGTGTTCCACCGCAGCTGCTCGCCCTTTCCGTCTGGTATTCAGGGGCTCGAAATGGAGGCAACGGAAGAAGAATCGGAGCTTGATTGTATGAATAACATTCTCCGTAATTAGCAAAACGCAGTTGTTTCTCATCGAAGTGTATATCTATCCAATGACTGAAGGTTGGAGTGCGGCAGCTTGCTGTGAAAGGGGCTCCAATCAACAGAAGAAAGTGAAATATTGATGGAGATATTCGCCAATACCTTTTGTTCTTCGTGATGCTACCCAACAAGCGGGAATGAATGGTGATAGAATTGGTCATTGGAAATTGCATTGATAGATACATTTCGACTAAGGGGGAGAGAGACACGAAATATCACAACACACCTTCACTATAATGGATAATGGCACGGGGACAGGGGGGTGGGGGGGGGAGATATGCGATGTTGTGGCCTCTCTGGCAAAGACGCTGTAAAGAAGTTGTATCCTGTTTGATGAAGGAATCCGAAGCCGAAATGCAGCTTCTCTTGGGGCTAAGCTATCCGGGAACAGCACCTTGCCCCCGCGAACTGAAGCCACTGACTGATTTTGGTCGGGGAGAGACGAAGTTCCAAGGCTACGTGCGGTCTAGCTATGGATGCAAAAGTCAGCATCGATTCGGCTCAAAAAAGGGAAAATTTGGGACTTGCGGAAGCAGGTGTTTAAATACGGTGCAATTATCAATCAGCCAGGAATCAATCCCCTTCCAAAAATATCGTGGTTCTCGTAGCCAAAGGAGGGAACAAAGGAGGACGCAACACGCAACATTCCCCGCTGGATGGCGGAGGAGGAGGAGGAGGAGGAGGAAGCGGGGCGCTGCGACGGACTTGATAGGACATCCAGCTCCGGCGAGGCGCTAGTCCTCATCCGGGCAGCCAAGCAAGCCCGCGCCAGATAAGATACGCAGCAGTCCCCTTTTCCCCCGGCCAACCGCCGCCTGTCACCGCCTGTCACCGCCTGTCACCGCCTGTCCAGCTATCGCGATTGTGGCCCTGGCCAGGCTCAAGCAGAGATACCGCCCAGCCCCCACGGGTCCGGTGCTTACCGCGGCGCCATCCCACGGTTAGCGATAGCGGGTGGTTGAGTGCCTGTTGATAAGGTGATTCCTGGTGCAGAGGACCCGATCGTGTTCAAAAAGCCTCCACTCACGCTGAGACTTGTCTTGCCTTTAGTCGGTCGCAGGGTGGTTACTCTACATACACCTAACACTGGCCATTGGTTCGTTCCGGTCTGCGTCCGCGCAAATCATCAACTGAGGGGGGATTGATGTAATCATCGTCTTTTCAATTCCTTGCATTTTGCTCCTGCACTTTTTGAATCAACGGACTTCGTAGTGCATATAGACTTAATAAAATTCGTTGGATCCATGGATGAATGCGATCCAGGAGCGGAACAAAAAGAGTGGGACGCTAGCCGTCAAACTCAAATCCAATCTCTACCATCGGATAAGTTTAATTTACTCCTCTTCGTCCTTTGTATACCCATATATATATATATATGATTTCTCTTTATGATGAAAGTGAAATCTCCCGTTGCTTTTTATTTTCTTGAGTCCGGGGATACACTGATTTCCCCCGATTATTTCGGTTCGGGGAAGAACATTTTCCTCCACTGAACTCCGGCTGCCAGGTTTGGAAAAGAGAGCATTCGTAAACGGCATCTAACAGCAGGCGAATTAATGGGGACAATAGAAGACCTCCTATACCCGCTCCGCTGAGGATGAAGCCCATGGCTAAACCACGGTAGCGGTCAAGATGCTCAGGGATAACAGTCAGCATCGGAGAGTAGAGCATTAAACTCCCTATCCCGTACAAGAGCCCTTGAGTTAACAAAAGATGCCATCCCTGAGCCATAGGATCAGGATTAGCCAATGCAATTGTCATTAAATGGACATTACATCAAAAAAAGAGAAATTAAAAAGGGAATACTTTAACCCGGATTACTTGTACTTGCGCTGGCAAGCCCATAAGCCAAGCCCATCAAAATGCTGCCTTTCGATTTTGCTTTTATTTCCTTCGACTCTGGTTCATCAACGGGTTAACAAAATGTAGAATTAAGGGTAATAGCAGCAAGCTCTGTTTTGAGCCAGTGAAGGCGGAGTAATAATTGATTTATTTATTTGCTCGCCGCGTAGTAGTCTTAAAAAAAAAAAAAAAAGACGCCGTAGGAAAGATTTGGGTTCCGATGGTCGTAATGACTGAGAGGACAGCATTTAACGACACCATCAACTGGCGCTTGCGTGTGGTTCGATGCCAGTCCGTGCTGGAATAACAGCTCCAGCTCCAGCTTCCGAAGGAGGACTATCAATCTCCAGCGACTGAAGGGTTAGTTACGTGAACCTTTGATGACATTCCAGGCTATAGTTTCCCCGTAGTTACAAATCCGGGATCAAGAGGAATGAGAATATAGCACCAGAGAACGATCAATAAAGCACGCAGATCGAGATACGGCTCAAGCAGACAAAAATACATTCAAATGTAGCAGATGCGAATGGAAGAAAGGCGAGCTGGAGAGCTGGGGAGCATTCCTACCTGTATTTTATCCAGCAACATTGCCCAACCAAACCAAAAATAAAACAAAACAAAATAAAATAAAATAAATAAATAAATAGATTCCATCGACATCTTGAACAGCCGTTTTTGGCACTTTCGTTGACAATGACATTGGGAAAGGTTGCGCCAACTAGACTCGAGGCCGAAAGTGCCAAACCGGCTTGCTTGCTTTGGCAGAAAGTAACTAGTTGAAGATTCCCATGCCGAGCTGCCATGTCCCCTTTCCAAAAAGACACTATGGGTATGGACAAGACCCCTGACTGAGGTTCGGCGATCAAAAAACTCTTTCATGACCGCTTCTTGAATCCTCAAATGATGACTCCAAAACCTCTGCCTTCCATCCTTTGGCAGAACTGAAGCCTCGAGATGGTCAATTCATCTACAGTTCAAAGAACATTATGATCTGTGTACGTCTTCATGATCTGAACGTGTTGAGGACATGACATGTAGTGTTTTGGCATATAGCAACATTAACAGCAACCCCTCCCTATCTATTTATTGCTGCTAAAGTTAAAAGAGGTAACAGAAAGAAGAGGACTGAGATTCAAGAAACACATATCAATGATACAGACACTCATTATTAAAGCAGAGGGGTGATGTGAGAAGAGAGAAACCTGTATATATATTTATCGGAGAAAACCGTAATTAGACACAGAAGGGGCAAAGACAAAAACAAAAACAAAAAAAAAAAAAAAAAACAAAAAATCCCAATAATATCCATTAACTTCAACAAAATGAAACAAGATACTACAACAGCAAAAAAGGTTTCCCACCTCGTTTTCTATCCATGTTCCTGCGATATCTAGTTGTTCTGTTTGGTTGGAGCCGGACCACCTGTGGTTGGCAGACCCATGAAAATCTTGAAGGCGTCGTAACTGGAAGAGTGTGATGTCAGCATCAGATTTTATTACCAGCTCAGCGGAGCAGGCACAATATTGGGAGCAATAGACATACATCATCCACTGGAGGCCGGTCTATCACATAAAACGGTTAGTTAGATAATCAGAAGAGTTGTAGGGAGGTAGTGCTGAGGATGATGGGAGACAACATACCAAGGTGCCGATCATAACAATTCTTACGGGGAGGCCGTTCCAAAGTCCCATAAACCCAATGTCTTTGTAAATTCGACTCATAGCACCGCCGAACGCCTCGCCGGGTAAGCGATTGGCATTGAGTTTGCTAACCATGACATCGGCCGGGTGCGACACGATAGCGCAGAGAATACCAGCCAGGTAACCGCCAGTAAAAGCAACGGCGGTTTGTGAACTTTTATTATAGTCGGACTTTTGGCCTGGAAGACGATTATAGATCATCTCCACTATTGTCTCGAATGAAGCGAACTTCATCATGGTGTATGGGATTTGTCTTCCCCAGAGCGGGTAGAGACCTTTGTACAATCTTTGCAAGTGTGGACCTACGTTAGCCTGTCCTAGCTCTATAGAAGATACAAAATCGGCTAAAATGATTAGTTACCCTGCAATGCCCTCCTTCGCAGTGATCTGAGAAATTCCGGAAAATGTTCCAGTCGCAAAAGGAGGGATTGTAGTTTGCATTCGAACCTTTACGGCTTCGAATGGACAAAGCGCAACATCTGCAACGAACTCCGCAGACGCACTTGCAGTCAAGTACAGCGATGTCTTCCAGCGGCGAGCCTTTTCTTCTCCGACAAGATCTCCGTAGAATTTCTTAAAGAATTCATATCCACCGTATTTAAACGCTCCTTGGGCCTAAACATAATTAATGGTGTTACTTAGAAACATTGATTTGTGCTTTGACAATGGTCACTTGCAAAAAGGAAAGAAAGGGACTGCTTACGGAGTATCCAAAAAATGTCGGACTCCAACCAGTGAAAATGCCGCGGATACCTTCCGCACGACCAATTTTTCCCCAGGCCTCGAAATTTCCCTTGTACATCTTGGCATCGACCTGGCGACGGCATTTCACCAGGTCTAAAGGAGTGACCATAGTGTGCGTCAAGCCCTGCGTATTACCATTGGCAATGAATCCTTACGAGAGGTATGAAGAATACTAAGGATATCGAAGGGAGCACAAAAACTGCAAAGCCAAGAATATCCAGATCATACTCACGCAGGCAAGCATCCCTCCAAATGTACAAGCAGCATAGTATTTTGGGCTATACAACTCGATTTGGCCAGTCTTAGACTGGATTTTAGCGCTGGCCTTCTCTAGTTCATGGGTAGCAGATTTTCCCACTGCTTCGGCTTTATGTTTGACATCGTCGATGGCGCTCCAGGCTGGGAATAATGGCCTCTCTTTCGCAGGTTCAGCTACTTGCTTTCTCTGCTGGTTAGAGCCAAACAGCGGATGTCTCGAGCCAAACGTGGTGGCAAGAGTGTCCTGGTTGGGAAGGATGGAGGAAGGCATGGTGATAGTTTGTGAATATACTAAAGCCAATTAAGTCAATCACTGTGAACCCATTGAACTGATAAGTCAACATCGAAGAGATAGGCAGTCGCAGATATCAACCCACTCTGAACGAGGATTGCAGAACTAGGTACTTGTTTTTGAGGTCAGTGTGGGGGGTTATCCTGGTCTGACAAGCTGGCGGCGGGATGACGTCGACGTGCTTGGCTGAGTATGGAGCTCCTAAATCCGTAGATAACAGTGAAAGTCGCGAAGGAGCACGATAGGTACGGTGCCACAACCTAGTAATGTAATTGAATCCGCAATCAATGCATTCAAGTGTCTCAGACTCGCCAGAGCACCGTGTCTGGGGACGATATGAAGACGGATGACGTCCGGTGAGGTCGGCGGTAAGCGGCTCCACAACCGCTCCGCTAAACCCAATAGGGACGATGTGGCACGGCCCGTGTTTATCCGAATACTCGGGATCATTTTGCTTAATAACCAACTGCTAGCACGTTAAGTAAACTAACTATAGTCAGTTAGACTACTGGCAAAAAGGCCCAATTGCCAGTCTAACGCTTGGACAAACAACTAGTTACGTGCATATGCCTAACAACTAATTATTGATGGCTTCAAGTTGGAGTCAGGATCCCACTATTACCGAAGATAGAAACAGGAAGAGAATTATGGAGTCCCACGTTTAGCCAGATTCTGCCCGTTGACCCCAAATCCTAATCTGCTCACTCCTCTTTCACCGATCTGAGCCACCTCAATAACAGCCATACAAACAAACCCCCACGCTTTTCCATATCGATTCGATCCCATACCGACCCCGCGAACAACAGGAGCATTGAACCCTATAACCCCTAACATACACTAGGCATAAACATATTTGTATTCGTTCAATATCCGCTCACGATGACATCCTACTCCTCCGCATGCCAGGCCTATGAGCGCGAACAGTTACCCAAGAACGGGATCCCACCCCCAATCGCCTCCCCATTATCATCCTTAATGTCCGACAAATACCGCGGGGTAAAAACTCCCAGCAAAAAAAAAATAAAGAAGAAGAAAAGAAAAAGAAAGAAAAAAAAAAAAAATCCAAAGTAAATAGCATAATGTATAGGAACCTAACAATTCTCATAACAGGCCACAGTCGAAGACCTCGACCCACCCGCTGCCCTCTCAACATTTCCGCAGGACCTGATCTCCACCGCCTTACTCACAGCTTACGAGCGCGACTACACACACCTAACCGTAATCTCCTCCTCCTCACGCTCGCTACTTGGATATCTCAGCATTCCACGACTAAAAACCCTACTAAGGGAAGGCATCGTTAAAGAATCTGATCCGGTGGAGAAAGCCATGTTGCGGTTCCGGAGGCGTGGACATGTTTATAAGATTATCACGATGGAGATGCCGCTGGAGGAGCTGGAGCGGTTTTTTGATGGGGAGATGGTGAAGGAGGATGGAACCGTGGGAATGAGGGAGAGGCAGGATTTTGCTGTGATAACGGATGCGAGTCGCAAGTTCGTGTTGGGTGTTGCTACCAGGGAGGATTTGGAGAATTTTGTCAAGAGAAGGCCTGGTTGATGGGGTGTGGAGATGGGCTAATGAACTTATTATTTTCTCAGCGGGATCCTCTAAAAGATCGCCATACGTCTGAAAACAAAATACCTTGATGGTACAGCGGGAATGACGATAAGCTGTTCTTCCTAGTTGTTCTGACTCTTCCTTTCTCTCCTTGTATCCTGGCATGATATTCGACATATATGCAAAATTGATAACGATGCAATACGCAATGAAGTAATATTAGACGGAATGAGTATATATCAATACTATTTGAGAAGCATGTACAAACACTACATGGGTAGTCAACAATATTCAAAATAGAAAAACCTGTAAATGTGTCATATATTAACATAACAATTATTATAGATTCTCCAAGCTGTTGGAATTTTATCCGTGTATAAATGAATAATGAATCATTCAAATTTATCCAAGATAGGATAACAGGGGGAAAACGGGGTATTTGAAAAATATTACCACATCGATAATATAGCAAAATGTTCCCATTTTATGGAGAGCATATTTAATGAGAGCAACAGGAAAGCCCCATGTTCAGAGGCTATATGCACTCAGGTAGTCAAAAGGTGGCGAGCCAGCAAGTTGGCGTTCATGAAAGCAAGGTCTGGTATATACGTAATATTATAAAGCCAGCGAAACAGCAATCAAGAACATGAGATCTCACAGATCTGAGATGCATATACATGGAGATGTCGATTTCCATCTCATCGAATATACTTTAACCTCCTCGTACCCTCCGCAGCCACGAGTGCGCTTATAGCACCAATAAACAGACACACCGCAATTGCATTGGGTCCTTCATGGTTGCGATTTATCCACCCGCCACTATTCTGTTCGCCAGCGGCTGGTTTTGTAGCTCCATCTGCCGCCATTGAGGTCGCTCCTGACTCGAAGATGCTGAATACAATCCAGGAAATGAATGTGCCAACAAATTGTGGAAGCGTGCTAAATACATTAAGCACTCCAAGATAAACACCGGCAAGTTCACCAGTAGAAGAACCCTCCTCACCCTGATCTGTGTCGCTGCCACTCTCCAAATCCGGGTTCGAGCTGTGATTCAGGCGGAGGAGGGAGGGTTCGCGATCTTCAAGCTCAACGTCATAATTAATGAGGGCAGAGTTCTGTCTATTGAAGGTAGCGGAGGTTATCATGGTGACTGAGGATTTTCTATTGAAGGAAGGAATGGTAAGGCGGTTTATTTCCACGCCCATGAATGCAAAGGGTGCCCAGCAGCTTACTGCCCACGGGATTCCGCAGATAGCTACGAGTAATGTGGTGGATTGGACGGAGCGGGCGGCCGGGGCGAATATCATCATTATGAAGAATACGATGTGTGAGATCATCCATGCCGTTTGGAGGTCGGGACGAGCAAAGTTGATTTTGTTAAAAAGTCTGATAATGCCCAGGGGTGGGCGGCGGGCAGGAGTCGATCTTTTGGTATCTGGGGAGAGAACAACAAAGGGGAGGAGGACGGAACTGATGAAAGTGATCAAGGAGAATATTACAAGGGACATGCTGCCGATGCGGCCAACATCTCCTAACGTATCTGAGGAATTTTCAACGGCTTCTTTAGGTGCTTCATAGCGGAAATATGTCTCCCCTACCCATGTGGTGCTGTAGAAGAGAAACGGAAACCACCCTGTTAATTTCACATGTTAACTATAACAATTAATTCAATCCTCAGAGAAACGAGGCCTACCAATCCAAGCCCAGAATTGTGCCCAACAGATGGCCCTTATCCGTGGTGGCAAGTTGGCTGTCGTTCTGAACAATTGGACTAGCATCTTTACTACCCCTATTTTCTTGTCGGAATCCCTGGCCGCATTGAGGATTAATATTTTGGCAGATTCAGCAAAACCGGGCCAAGGCATCGTACACCTAACTAACCTAACTGAGATCAACACCCTCTCTTTGACAGCATACGAGGTAACAGATACTGCAAAAATCAACAAAGCCGCGGCTATCACAGTAATTTGCTTAAACTGCGTATCACCCAGCGTATGGCCGAATATTGCCAGCATATCCACTGAACAAACTGCATATCCTAAAAGATGGCCAACAGCCGTCATCCGGCTTGCTAATGCGTGTTAATTACTAGAAATGAAACATAAGACATGATGGGTGACGTACCCCATGCAGACCCAAGTTGTTGTTGCGGAATAGGTAAAGTGTCGACGATTAAACTACGACAAGACGCTTGAACTACACTAATCAGCAGATTGACAATAAATATGATAATGATCCCGTTCAAGGAGTGAAAAGTAAGGCTTCCCCGCAACGTACCGACATTAATTGAAAAATCGACAGCATATACGATAATCACTGCTATTGCAATCGTTACGCTTTTCCTCTGTTTCAAAGTTAGCACCCATTGCACAAAATGCAACTTAAAAAAGAGCCTGTTCTCCGTTATTTTCAATTCCAGCTGAGCAAGCCAACATGTTATAATATTATCTTCCTGCAAAATGACATCCCATAACACTCCAACCCCAAAAGACTGTATAATAAGATGAAAGAAAGTCTCACACATACTGTATCTTCAGCGGAGATAAACATGCCCACTAAATTCGGTGCCCAACATAAAACCAGCAGAAAAAATCCAACAACAAGCGAGCCACCAACCATGAACGGTCGTCTACGTCCCCATTTTGACGTCGAGCGATCCGTGATTACCCCAATCAGAGGTTGCACTATCAATCCGGATAGTGGACCGACAATCCATACTAGCGACGTTCGTGATTTCGTTAAACCAAGTTGGAGGAGATATGGTGTGAAATCTGCAGTTTTTTTCCCAGGAAGGTTAGCGGTATTTATTTTTCTGTGAATCCATAGAGTAGATAGCTAAGTAGCTAAATTGTGTAGGTTAAAGAATGAGATGGAGAAAGTAAAACGCAGCATGGATACGAGAGGGTGTAGACAGAGAGAAAAGGGGAATGGAGAATAGGGGATTTAATTTACATGTCATTTCAACGCCCCATGTAAATCTTTACACGTGAAAAGGGTTCCAAAGGTTTGGGAGAACAAACCCCCAAGCAATAAAAGTCAACAATTGCAAGCCCCATCATATCAATCCACTTCTCCTAATTGCACATATGGAATGAGGGAAAGGTATTTAGGGAGAGGTATGCACTTGCGGGGTAATCTGGAAGGGGAAAACGAGGAATAAGGTTTGTCATAAACGCACTGTAGGCCAACCAGGCTGAATGTCAGCAATGCCAGCTTCATGGCCTCTGTTCGGCCTTTGATAGAGGGTGTGCCAACCCATGACGCTGTTTGCTGCATAGCATGTGACTGGTCGCAATCAGGATGTCGCAGGGCCGGAGTGTGCTTTCAATATTAGATCCGGCGGTGTATTTGGAGAGAGATTCGAGAAGGATGCGACAGCTCTTCCCTTTGTCAACAACTTGCCAAATTCACGAATAAACGCTTCAATTGGGACGTCGAGGTTGTTGCGTCTATTCTAACATATCGATGGATGGGGATGGGATGCCGTTTCGAATCACAGAACCAGTATGGGATGAAAATCTTGGAAGGAAAGGAATGGCAAAAATAGATTAAAACAAGACATCTGTCTCTATATCAACATCAATTAAATGTCACCAATTTACGACAGCAAGGGTGGGACATAAAGATACTAAACGTGTAAACAGGGGTTATTAAGATGATTTCAAGGTAAAGCTGTCTCTGTAGCGGCTGGATTGGTCAGCGTTATTACTAATAACGTAGCTAATGTGGGACGTCTAAAGTGGTAGGTTGTATTGGTTTAGCCTATCTCGGGGATGCTATAATACTACTGTGCGGTGCGCTAGTCCATAATAGGAAGCCCAGGCCCCAACAACCAATCAATCACCTAATGGATCAATCATCCTAACGGATTAAATCACCGGATCACCCCCACCATTCTATTTGACAAAATTTCAAATTAAGCAACAACCACGAGGAATTCTATATAGAAATTATATAGGATAGACACTTAGGTCTGTTGGTACTGCCTATTACTATGTCCAGGGGTATTACGCTTGCTGCAGGTTGGGGGTCTTCACTTCTTAGTCCTTGGTTCAAATCCTCAACCCCTTCCTCTGTATGTTGATCAGGCTCCTGAGGTCTAGCAGTCCTAGCTAACGCGTCTTGAGCTGCTAGTATTCCTTTCTTAGCTATATAAAGACATGATTTCTCTCTCTTTCACTTCTGCCTGGTGTTGACAGGTCTCAGCTCTGTGTTTTTCTTTGCTAATATAGCAGCACTATGCATGACCAGCTGATATCTCTTCTCTATTCCCTGGCTGTATGAGAGATGGCTTATTATCTTCCTCAGCTCTAGCGATCACTCTGGCTGTTGAGATAACCCTCATCATAAAGTCAATCTCATCAAAATTGTAGATATCCTTCAGCACAATTCCACACTTCTTTATTGTACAATTCACAAAGGTAAATCATTCCTGTAGGATCTTTGAATTCTCACACCGAGCTCACTGATAGTCATATTTGTGTGAGAACTTTGTCTTTAGTTCAGGATGCTGTTGTATAAATCTATTGACTCAACATTCTTCTATGATTGTAGAAGCACTGAATCCACACTCTGCAAGTAGTAGATTGGCAATTTCTTGTACAGTCATGATTCAGAGAGACTGTCCTCTCTCATTCATTAAGATTATTCATTGAACTAGAGATTCTTCTTCTGTAGAGATCAGTTTTTGATTTTTTAATTGAGCATTCACATACATGATTTGATCGCGTAGTCTATAGGCCAGGGAGGAATAGAGAATGTTACATAACTTAAACAGCAGCTCTAGTAGTTGTATTTTGCTGAGCTTTATAAGCTTTAATGACTAATAAAAGCCTGTCTTCCTGATTAGAAGCCCTCATAGTGAGGGTGGTTGGCATACTGAATTTTTTAATGAGCATGAAATGATGTGGATGAAAGGTGATCCGTCAGGTGATTGATTAGTTAGTTAGTTATGTTAGCTGACTAAGCGCGAGCTACCCTTGAGCTGCTGGCGTGGATCAATAGATCATCAAAATCAAACAATCCAATGGTTAATATATCAGAGCAAAATATCCATGCGGGGTGTGGGGCGGGAGGAAAGTATATATCGTCCAATGAATAACAAGCGTACACCTCTTTCACTCTCGATTCTGGTTTATAAGTCACAGGCCAAGATTCTATAGCTAGCTCTATTAACTACTTCTGCCAAGGTCTAATTTAATCCTTCTGACTCCTAATTCAGACTCCGTGAACCCGGGAGGGTGGTGAGACGTCTTAGGAACGTCTAGTGTATGTATGTTATATCATCAGGGCATGATTAGAAAATATGCATTTCTAAGAACAATCAGATTTTCTCTAACCATGTTCTACGCTTCCCCGCAACATCAATTTTACAATTTGTGCCATGATGAAATATTGATCCCACACTAACAGAGCCTGGCCATGAATGAAAACTCTAACACTTCCGGTATGTCCCTAGCCAGAATATACCCAAATTGCAACAGCTGCAATAGCCCAACCAGTGATAGGGGACAGCCATGGACTCAAACCAGCCGGAGACATTGAAGGGTATTCGATGAGAGTCCCGTTCACAGTTCCGTTCGTACTACTGTGTCCCCCAGGTGTCTCAGTTTCATAACCGGCGGGCATATCGGGCTGCAGACGAGGTTCTGTGTTATTAACACCTCCATTCTCCGTCCAGTATGTTGCAGCGTGGATGTACACGGAAGCGGAACGATTGACAGCAAGTGTTGTCCAGGCAAATATCCCGTCGTTAACATGGTCGCCCAGATAAATGTAGTGCGCGACAGGGTCAGCCTTGGCTGCATTTGCGGAGAACTTCATGAGGAAATCGTCAGCGTTCAAGGTCTCTTTGACCTGGTTGGAGGCGTAAGGCTCTGTGACTCCGACAGCGTCGATGAGGGCTTGGTCAAAGTATATTTGCCCGATGTGCGAAGTTCGAGTGCTCCTGAAGGTCTTATTGGGCAGGACTTCACCAGCCTCATGAGTTAGGACGTGAATATGGCTGTGTGTCGTTGAGGAGAATTCCAGACAAGTTGGTTAGCTTGGTGTATACCTGGTATATCGTGGGGCAATTGAGGGACAGAGCATTTCAGAGAGAATACTTACATTGCGCGGCCCAAGTAATGACCGGGAAAAATTGTCTGATATTCAACAACACCTTCTCCATCAGTGGGGTAGATACCACGACCGAAAGTTGTGTTGAGATTATCAACAATCGCTCCATTGCCGTTCTCCGCTGAGGCAACACCGGAGTAGACACCGGTGCTGTTGGTGTGCCAGATGTCTGTATAAATCTCTGGGATTGGCTCGCATGTTTCAATGTCAAGGACCCGAACGTCTAGATACAATGGAACACCAAGCTGGTCATCCACGACATTGTTGCGGACCAGCTCGCCATCAACGTCTAGGGAAAGGGAAGGTTAATTTGGTGTCATAGGTGGGAGAGAATAGGGGAAAGCTTGCAAGGAACGGAAGCTGGAAATATTCACAAAAAGGGCCAAGGACAGTGCTTGCCGCCAGTACACAGGCCTGAGATGGATCTTCGCCAAAAAAAACAGAGCTGGGCGAATCAAGACTGGCACCTGGGAATTTCAATGTGTCATTGTGATTCGTTTTCAAGACGTCGGCAAAGTCGCGCTTGGTGCTCTTCCAAGGGGCTGCAGATGATTATTAGCGCACAGAATCTAGGCATTTCCATATCAGCAACCTACAAGTCGGAAGGTTTCTCTTTGCACGGAGAGATGCCGCCCGCACAGCGCGTCGTTTAGCATCTTTCGCATCCCAACCGCGTTCCCAAAGAGATTTCGCGCAAACATCCAGGCCTCTACGCGCCTGATGAATCCGTTCATCCTCTGTCGCAAGCTCCCGAGGCGACAGTTTAACGTCGGCATGGGAGACGACAGTGGACGCGAAAAAGACGGTCGCAAGTGCGACAGCTTTGCAAAGATTTACCATTGTGAAAACAGAGACGCTCAACTGCGGCCAAACGATATAAGAAAGTCAACAAGAGGATGTTCCCGCTATTTAAAATATTTCGAAGCCTAAATATTGGTGTTTAATAGGGGTGAATGACACGGAAGGAAATACTAATGGTTAGTACATTCCCATGCAGAGGACAATTCCAAGAGCGAATCAGCATTTAAATTATATGGAAAACAAAAATCCTTTCCGCGGCAGGCAAAGCGGAACTATTGAACCGATAAAACAGCGGCGCAGCTCGGCACTCATTTCATTCGTAACAATGTAACTGAATGGGCGGAACAGGCTTGAGTGGCCCGGATTTCCCGAGAGCCAACTGCTTTAGAAACATCGAAATTAAGGCTCACAAGCGTACTCCAGGATTGCATGGTAAGTGCTCAGCGGATATGAGGTCTATGCTATCACCGCCGCGGATCATGCACCCCTGTCTCGATGTTACAATCGCAGAGAGTACACCCCGCTTTTAAGGTTCTGCCCATCCCCGCCTTCCGGGGCTTCCTTCAGGATTCCAGAACCTTATCCGCAGGCCGGAATAAGCTTATTTTAAGCGAAGTAGACGCTTATTGGCCTGCCTATTGTGGTGAAGGATATCAGCCGCCCTTGGAGAACCTTGGGATGGCTTCCTTCATGCCTAGACAGCTATTGAACATCCCATACTATGTATATATGCGATAATGTAGTTATCGTAGCAAGAAAACCACGATTTTTTCCAGAACTGACATTTGCCTGATTAGGGAAATTTGGTTTCCGCATTTCCTGTTACTGTTGAAAAATATTCTCTAAACGCCCAATTAACAGCTGTTCGATGAGGGGAATCCCTAATTTGCGACGCTACGGATAGTGTTAGGAAGTGAAGAACAGGGGTCAGTTGAGACAAATTAGAGAGACGTACAAGCCGGAGGAAAGTTTAAATCATTGATGAGTCTCGAACTCTGTATATAATAATTTTCGAGCTTGGCGACCCTGCTCCACTAATGATGTGATTTTATTAGTGTCTCTCTATATATCTTGGCTATGTCATATGCTTCCGATGGCGACTGTGAAAAGTTCGCATTTCTATCTTTTATTACTAAACATTACTGAATCTGCATTTAATGCTTGAATGCGAAATACATTTCTGTTAATATTCTGAATATTCAGTAATAGAGTACTGCATTTAAGTGCATTCGTCGAGCCCCATGTCGGTGGGGGGAAAGGCAACTTCAGCATCATTGGTTTTGATCAATACGCTGCCATGACTAGCAACACAGAGCCATATTCTCGATTAACTTAGCTAATCATTGGATGATTGAGAGAAAACTCTTGCTACTAATCAGCGAGTGGCAAATTCGATCCACAGGTGTAGTTTGCATCTGAAATACACGTGGGCCCACTAAGTTAAACAATTCCAGCTGCGAGAGAGTGGATAGGTGCCGACGCCGGACTCACCAGAACCACCGGTCCTTGATATACGAACGGAAACAGATGAAGACATCCTTTATATTCATCCCCTATGCCGACATAGTAGGATAGGAAATGAAATGAATTGGCACGGAGTAAGAAGCGGGGAAATATTCCAGCCCCACTGAACTCAAGTTGAAATCAGATCAATATATTTTCGAATCAATGTATGATTTCGTCAGGAGTATCGACGGGTTGACTCTAAGAGGAAGTCCATGGATGGCAGAATCCATGTTGATAACGTTTCGCTGGTGTATCTCATTGGAGGTTACCAACTGATGGCCAGTCATGATGGGCTGGAATTGATGTCTTTTCGACAATGAACCGTTGGCGGATATTTTGAGACAGCGATTTCACCAATTGAGGTCAGAAATATTTCAATGATCATGGGACCTGAATGGATTGAATGAAGCATTGAGTTTCTCTGGGATGGTAGAGCAATGTAGCGGTTTCCCGCTCGCCAAACGATCTTCAACGCTTGTGAGAAGAGAGAATATTTGAGGCAGAAAAAGCTCCTGCGATCTGCGTTGCAGGGTCGCCACATGGCAGAGAGCACATGGCGTTCAGCAGCAAGGAAGTGGATACAACAAAATCCGGCTTGCAGCAGTAGTACGCCGAAGTTTCCTCGCTCCTTTCAATCGAGAGGATAACTCCCTGCTATGCTTTGGAGGACGAAATGAACACTGGTGAGTTGTCCCAGATAGTCCTGATTTCAGACCACTGCTTGAGGGTTAATCCTTTTAACTCAGTGGATAAGACACAAGTCTATAGCAACTGAGTAAATACCAGTATGAATGCTTAGAAGAGCAGTAGAATTGTCACCTCGGTGCTCTGTGATGCGATACCTGCTCAAGCTGAATTGAACATGATGGATACGATAACTAATCTATTAACATCGATGAATGTAAGGCCTGGGGATACACCATACCTGATTCTACTTATACTGGTGGTTTTGAGCACTGTCAATGCGGAGTTCTGACCGCTAAGTAACTTTTCGCCGTTGTCCGGGAAGCGGCATAATTAGCGATTCCTTGTCGAAAAGGATTCCCGCTGCAAATACGAGCGCCTCTGGCGCTGGCACACTTTGCCTTTAACGTGCAGAGTAGTTTCCAGGCAGTTGGTGAGAACAGAAGAAGAAGAGAAAGAAAGGGGAGCTAGAATTGGAGAAACAAAAGAGAACTGCTTGATATTTGGAATAAACAAGTGGAGAGTATTCCTGTATCCCACCTACGGAAATAGAAAAAAAAAAAAAAAAAGGTTAACTAATGATTAGCCTTTCCTACACTCTATGAAGGGTTTTATTACAGAGTAGAGTCTATATGTATTTACAGTATATACGCTCGATCTTTCGAGAGCATTTCGCGCTCGAAGCGGTAGAAAGTTACAACAAATGGAAAGGAAAAGGGAAAAAGAATGAAAAAAAAAAAATAGTGAAAGAAAAGAAGAGAGAGAGAGTGTGTGTGTGAAAGAGAAAAAGAAGGACGAACACTCAAGCAGGTGGACCCTTTGCCTTCGCACCTTTCGGCACACGTACAAGCCAGTAGATAAACACAGCTCCAGCAACGTTAAACACAATATACACCCACATCAGTCCGAAATTCCTCCATGCGTCATTGTAATCACTACCAATACTCAGAAGGAAAGAATCCGTCTTCGCTGAAGAACAGAAACCGCAGTCCTCAGTTGCAGAGGGGTTCACAAGGTATCCCTTGGGGGGGTACGTCGCTCTGAAAGGAGCAAGATATTGTTCGCAAGTCTGGTTAGCGATGGGGTTAAAACGGAGAAGCTCTACAGGATCGCAGACAATGTCGTTACCGGATAGGCCGGTAGATAGCATGGCAGAAACGAGGTACGAGAAAGGCGAGACGTGGTAGAGGAAAATCCAGAAGCGCGGCATGGCATCCTTGGTTGCAAGAACGCCGCAGAAAATCAAGCAGAGCATGAAAAGCAGGTTGGCAAGGTTTGCGCCAGTTTCAGCGACTTCGACGCCCGCGATCATCATGTGGGAAAATGTGGAGGCGAAGAGCATTAAAGTGAGAATTAACAGGAACATGAGGACACTACGCTCTGAGACTTGGTGTTGAGCGACGGCGTTCTCGTACAATCCGATGGGGAAATACCAGCATACGAACATGATGACGGCCATAAGGGCGTTCCACGGAAGCTCGACGATGATATTTGCCATCATGAAAGCTTTCCAGGAGTATGATTTGGAAGGACGCTCGCGAGCTTCGTACAAGGCACGCGCGGCGGTGAAGTTCGGCATGATCTGCTGACACAGATTACCGAATATAGTCATCAACATGAAAACAGCGAACATTTGGTTCTGAAGGCCCTGGAGACTAGTTCCCGCCTTAAAGAAGGAAAAGCCGATGAAAAGCGCAGAAAGGGCACATAACGCTGTTTTGGAGTAGATATATGTCGGCGAGCGCCAGTACTGAGAAAAGATTCGGGCTAGGCACTCCCAGAGCTGGACACTGAAGGGTGCAGCAAATTCATGATAATCTTCGGGATTTTTATTCGTCTCCTGGTTCTGACCTTTCTCAGAGAGAGAAGCTTTGAGCTCGTCGAGATGGGCATGCACTGCAGTTATTTCACGGCTATTGCGCCAAACCTCAGGCCAGTCGATTTCAGTTGTGGATCCAGGGGCTGCACCAATGACTTCCAACATCCATTCTGCAGGATTTGCATCTGCTGGCAATTTAGGAGCCCCATTCCTTTCGAAATAGCTTGACAAAATTGAAGCTCGATCGCCGACATCACCAAAGTAAACCGTCTTTCCACCACTGGCAAGGAAGAGCAGGCGATCGAATCGTTGGAAAAGCATTGCTGATGGTTGATGGATGGTACAGAGAATTGCTTGGCCATGTTTGGTCAGCGTGTCGATGAGATTTAAGATTGACCAAGATGTTTGGCTGTCAAGACCCGATGTTGGCTCGTCAAGGAACAGAAGAAGCTGTGGTTTCGCCGCGAGTTCAACGCCAATAGTCAGTCGCTTGCGTTGTTCAACGTTTAGACCTTGATTAGATTGTTAGTATCAGTGTCCGGGACTCTTCGATGAAGGGTCTTTAATCATACCTTCACCCGGAACACCAACAACGGCGTCAGCGTAGTCCTCCATCTCAAGCAACTTAATGACTTCATCTACATATGCAATTTTCTCGGCACGCGGTACACTTGCAGGTTGTCTCAGAATTGCACTAAAGTTTAATGCCTCTCGCACAGTCGTTGTCGCCGAATGGATATCTTGTTGCATGATATATCCCGTTTTACGCTGGAATGACGTATCCCGAGGTTGGCCATCGACAAGCATTTCACCACTGACTACACCCATAGTGACACGAGTGGCGAGGACATCGAGCAAAGTCGTTTTCCCGGCGCCAGAGACACCCTAAATTCATGTTAGTCATTGTCACCGCAAGAATAGCGCAACTGGAACAGACATACCATGAGTGCGGTACATGTTCCAGGTTTTACCCATCCGTCAACATGGTCAAGGATGCGCCTTTCCTCCTTCTTGATCTTGATGTCATAAC